CAACAAGAGCCTTCCTCTTTTGTGATGGTTCATTTGCCAATCGACTTCAATGTAGACTTCTTTGAAATCGAAGCTACTTTACTTCAATTACCAATTGGCAGTTCTATGGCGTAATGCACATGTCAAACTCAAGGCCTGCGGGCCACATGTGGCCCCCCAGCATTTTATAGGCCGATGATTGACTTAAAATAGGTTTTGAGCATGAATTGACTACAAACTACATTTCAACCAAAGGTTTGTAATGCGCTTCCTAACCAGACGCTCCAAAGTGTCCGGTCTATAACTCTTCAACACGCTGTCAGCTCCCGGTCAGAAAGACGCATTTAGTTCAGAGTCCATGAGATGATATTCAGAAAGGATTTTTTAAATTAATTGATTTCAGTTGCCTCTGAGACTAAATCTTTGCGTAAAGTCTATAATGTCTGCCCATGTGACTTGTTTTTATTATTTGTTTGCTTACCTTTAAACACTGATTTAAATATTGTAATTTTTCAACAGAGCAGTAATTTTACATCCATGGAAACTCAAATGTAATATTTAAAACTTCAATACATAAAATCAGTTATTTAACAATATGAGGTGGTGTTTAATTTATTTTTAACATTGTATTTTCATACATTTATGCTGGGGGTGCCCAAGTCTAGTTTTCCAGAGCTACCATCTGCAGCTTTAGATGGATTCCTTCTCTAACACACCTGGACCATTGACTCATTATAAGCCTCTACAGAACTGAATCAACCTTTTGTCTGGGGTGTTTTAGCAGGGATGCACTCCTGATTTGTACCGTCAATGTGGCCCATTGAGGGGGGCCACTATGCTGAAGTGGCCCTCAGTGAAATTGAGTTTGACACCCCTGCCATAAACTAAAGATTTTAAAAATAACTAAGATTCAAATACAGAAATAAAACAAAACATTTATGTAAACAGAAAGTTGGAGTGAGTTTGTCTCAAAACTCCAAACTAGTTTTTAAGTCAGTAGTATGGAAATCATCCCCCATATTTTACTGAGATTCTCTGAGATCTGATTTCAACTAATGAGGAAGGGAAGAGAAACTCACTCTGCTACACAGGCACAGGATAAAGAGTGGAAGGAGACCAGCTCCACAGTGTCTCTCAGATGTTCGTCCATCTCAAACAGAACCTTCTTATATGAAATAAACTCTTTGTTTGGTGCATAAACACTGTCTTGGTAGACCTAGAAGGAAGAGCAGAACAGCTCAAAATATTATTCTGAATCTGAGGAGACATTTTATCATCACCTCATCAACCAGCAGAAGGAGTCTCTCAGCTGATACAAACTCAATCACTTCCTCTATGGACTCCCTGTCCTGCAAATGTCCTGAAAACAGAAAACAGCAGCAGCTTCCTCAGGGTTGATAACGAGCTGAATTTGGTTTGCGTGCAGTGAAGTGTGCAGGCCTGCCTGTAGGGTTTCCTGGGTTGCTTATGTAGATTGCTCTGGGCTCGCAGCGCCCTCTGGCGGTCGTTAGAGCTCTTTCCAGCTCACTCAAGTCGACAGCCCAGTTTTCCTCCTCTATCAGCCGGTAAGGCACGGCCATCACCCCGGCCTCGTCTAGCAGAGGAAGCAGTCCGTGTGGACAGGGATGAGGGATCAACACTCCAGTCTGAAGTCGCCCTTCCCCTCCGGACAGCAGCTTTACTATTACCTTAAAACACAAAGACAAACTTTATTTTCCCATCGGAATTTAGGCAATAATCTAACCACTATTTTGTTACTTCGATTTTAATAACTCGATTGGTTAGGTACTTTTAATTTCCTTCATAGAGAAGCAGAAGTTTCCGACTTGGGAATAGGAAATTTTGACTGATGTATATTATAGCCTGGTCTTTTTACTTTGCTTTTTCTTGATAATAATTAAATTTCTTTTGAGGTAGTTCCTGTTGCTCATTTCTGGAACCACACTAGGATTTGCAAATGTACCATTTTTCAAATGTGGGCAAACATTAATAAAATTGCAGAAGCTCACCTCTCCTTTATGTCAGGTTATGTCAGGTTTGTTGTTACAATATCCTTTTAAAGTTCCTCATAAACAAATCTCTGTCTCACCATCAGGGCTCTCTGAGCTCCAGAGGATATAAAAATGTTTTTAGCATACGCAGGAACACCTTCATCTCTTTTCATGATGAATTCGGCGATTGTTTGTCTGACGTGAGGCAGTCCAGAGGAGGCAGTGTAGGAACCTAAAGATCATAATAAACAATCAGTTAACTCATTAAACAGAGTATTAAAACTTTATCCATATTCTGTGCTATAATGAGAAGATGGCGGAGGTGGATAATACTGTAAACAATTTTTTTCCGGAGTAGTGTTTGTTTTGTTGTTTTATATATGTACAATTTATTTATGTGTATACTACTTATACTAGTATGACATTTTTTATTGTTCAGTTGTTTCATCTGATCATGTACTAGAAGTTGCAAGATGGGGAAAATAAAACTCCTTTTTATTTGGTCTCTGGCAGCTGAGAGAGATGACGACGCAAAGCAACAAAAATAAATTGGCCTTTATAAACTTGCTGGATTGAATTTATTTTTTCTTAACCACTAGTTTAAGTAGTTTTCTTTATTTTTCTGTGTTTTAACTTTTACATATTGAGTTGCAGCACTTTGAGCTTTTAAAGCCTGCTTTAGTTAGTTACTGTAAATGATGGGCAAATCATCATTTACATCATTTATTTCGTCAGCACAAGGAAGAAAGCTCAATAAAATTTGGGTTTAATAAATGTGAAATAAAACGGTTTTGTTCTTGTTTTGTTTTTCAAATCCTCACCCACACTTTCACCATCACAAGCCTCCAGGAGCCTCAGGGCTCTTAGCCTGACGTCCAGAGGAAGATGTTCGTCACTCAGCAGCTCAGGGCACAAACACACCGCCAGGACCTAGAAAATGGCATCAAATTCAAAGAGGAACTGAAGCAGGAAAATATGGCATATGCATGATGTTGATGTTGATATTGATGTTGATATTGATTGTTTAAAAAAATAATTATTTCCTGATTGTCATATATTACATTATTCTCAATTAGGAATGCCAAAATTATTTTTGTTTGATTAATACCAGAATAAGAAGATTATTTTTCAAACAATTTGTTTCTTTCATCAAAGTCAAGAATAAATAATTTTCTTTTTTCCTTCTACACTACATGACTCTGGGTGTCCTTCCCGAAGCTTCTCGTGATTGTTTGCTGGAGTTTTGGTCCATTCCTCTTGACAAACTGTTATGACTGAGTCAGCTTGTCTCACTCAAACACACCTTTTCAGCTGTGCCTAATTTCTATGGGACTAAGATCAGGGCTTGTGGTGGCCAAATAATATTTACCATTAGAGCTCCTAAAGATTTGATAAATTCATTGATGTTGATGAAACTCACTGACAAAATATATGCTTTTGGGATTGTTCACATTAGGAGTACATTTAAAAAAGGATTTTTGCCTGAATCAATTTAAGGAATATGAAAAAACCCACCTGGCGAACAAATGAGATGGGTTTCATTCCTGCTCTCTGGGGATCACCTGAACTGATGTTAATCTGCTCCTTGAAGGATTGTGGCGCCCCCTACATGAGAACATGGTATAAGGCAGCAAATCCGTTTTAAAATACATCTCCTTCCTCAAAGTTTCAACAGTCCATTATAGGCTTAATTGCATTGAGAGGAATTTTCATATTCAGGGTTTCACTTGTACTGCACTTGGGAGCAAATATGTTGAAAAACACATTATTGTTGATTACATTTGTTCCACTCTTCTTTACGATGTGCCTCTGCTAAATGTCCAGACATGACTTTCTGCTCAGGACTCTCTTCAGTATCAAACACAATGCTTTATTCAGGTTAAATCTGGACTTTAACTAGACCATTGCAATACATTAATTATTTTTTTGTTTTCAGAGACTCTTCTTAGGATTTGATGCAATGATTTTATATTTGTGTTTTCTTTTTCTTTTCAGTTGTTGGAGACACTTTTTTTATCTCATCATTTATTGACCATATGATGTGAGATTTTTTTTTTTTTTTTACTTTGTCTTGACATATTAAGCCTTTGGCTGGGGAAAAAATGGTTTACTGTATTTTCCATACCTATCAAGATGGCTGGGCTTACCTGGATGATGTCTCTGGTGTTGTTCTCAGTCAGACTATGCAGCCCACTTTGAGATGAGAGTCTGATCCCTCTCACTCTGGGATTCACTTCTTGCAGGGACATCATCAGCTTATGCATCAGATTGTTTTTCTACTTCTAAGATAAACAACCTTTGTTTCGTAAGTTTCTTACAAGGTTTGAAGTCTTTGCCATAACTGATCCAAATTACGTTTAACTGTAATTTAGAATGTAATTAGCTTACATTCCCAGATTCATCCATTTAATGTTTGTTTAATCATTTTTATTGCAAAAAAAAAAAAAATAGTTTCAAACTTAACAGCTGTTAAGCTCACTTTATACTGTGGGAAGTTGTTGAAGTAAGCCAACTTAAATGCAAAAACAAAAAACTTGAGTGCCAGAATTATAAAAAAGAATAACATGCAACTATGCAAAACTTCCGCAGGCTACAGGATTAAATATACATTGTTGTCAATAATGATGGATAAAAAATTTTTGAAACTAATCTAATGAAATTTAGATAATTTGACTTATTCTTGATAAAAATATGTCTAAAAGTTTTACTGATTGACCTCAAAACAATGACAACTTTAAATCTAATTTTAATTAACCATGTGGGTCTTGAATTTAAATAATATTAAAAATGTCTTTTTAAAAAAATACTTAAATTTAACTTACTGAAATTTCCAGAAACTGCTTTCTTTACTCGATGTATTTTGTCTGATAGCTGCTATTGAGTTCTTGGTTAGGGTCTCTGGACTGCAGTTCTCAGAACATTGGATGAATGTTTAGCTGATACATAGTTATATATTCATCTGATCTCTAACTTGTTTGATGTATAACCCTTTCAATTATTTCAGTTGGACTTACACGTCTGAGCTGGACTTTAGACAATGTTTTGTCTGATTTTTTTTTTTCAATCTTTTGGAGGCCATCTGTATGTACTGCTTTATACATCAGGGACATATTGAGGTAGCAAAATTTACCCAAATCACAAACAGAAAAGCATCAGATGTGAGCATCTCTTAGTTTTTCATATTGACAAAAAATTAAGAGTCAAAACTTTAGCTGTTAATAATATTTAGGAGGATTGGCGTTAAAGATTAAACATAATCTGATCTCTTTGCCGGACCATTTGCACCATCAAAAGCCCATTTTTCTGACTTGATGGGTTGGAGGCGAGTCCAGTTTTAGAGCACATGCTGGTTTCTGAATGATAAAAAGTCACCAGAAGCTGAAATGTTATCAATTGTTTACAGCAGCAGAAATATGTGGTTTTAATAAATCACTCAGCTGCTTTGCATCCCTGGTACAATTGTTAGTATTATCTTAAAGCTCCGGCGCAGTCTTCTGACAGGTTAACAGGTAGGGATGTGTAAACACTCATATTTCCATCTGTGTGATGAAATCTTCAGACCATGTAATCAAATAATTAACAAATTTCTTAAATCAATACTTGACTCGATAAATAATCATCCTCACTTCATTTCATAGCTGTAATTGTTTTACCAAATAAAGGCTCTGTCCTCTTTCTGGATTTAATTTCTTCAGCTTTGACTTTATTTGGCGTTGTTGTTTTTGGCATTCTCACCTCCCAAATGACATGATATGGTCCACATCATGATCTTTGTGAGTTGAGACACATATGGGCCCCATAGGTAAACTTAGGTGAAAATCTGTTCATTTTCACACAGGCAGGTAGGTTATTTTCTCTTTCAGACACAAACTCACTGTAGAAATATACATAAAGAGCTTTATTAACTGGAAACTTGCACATAATTTGTAATACGGAGTATTAATACTGGACAGTAAGCATAGGTACAGAGAGAGAAACACAACTGGAGTCAGGTTTTCTAAAACACAAAGGCTGTAGGCCGAGAAGATGACTTTTGCATAGAAGTCCCAGCACAGTACAGCGTACTGCAGGGAGGAAAGAGAGGATTTTATCTAAGGGAACATTTTTTTAAAGGGAATTCCAGTTACACAATATTAATTTTACCATAAAGATACAGAAAGCATCCTTCTTGTAATATGTTCTTTCACCTAAAATAAGTTATGTACACAATGATCAATGAGTTGAGGGTAAAGTAGCTCCTGATGGGTGGGTCAGACAGGAAGCCATGCAGTAATCAAACCTGCTTTTTGCAGATCCAGGACCAGCTCATCCACATCTGTTGATTAGAGTCAGATGATGGAGGCTGATCCCATCCGGGTTTATTAGACGTGTTGAGAAAAACGGGGGAAAAAACCCCCCAGAACAAATCAAAAACAAGTGCTCTACTAGTTTTCTGTCATAGCCCTTATTTGACTTGTGTGTAATGGTTGACATCCAGGGGGCGCCCTTTCTTTGAAGGTAGTATGAATTAGTATAGAGCCCTTACATGTACTAGAAGACAACCTTCTTATGTGTTTTGGTGAGGATTTGTTTGACATTTTGTGCTCTTCTGAGGGCCTTGTTCATGTCATTGCCCCAAAACAACTCGATAAGGAGACTTCAGTCTTTAGATTCCTTCCTGATTAGTGGTCTGAACCAAAAGAGTGCATTATTTCTCCAGTTTTTTTTTGTTTGTTTTTTTATGTTTCCCATAAAGGAAAAAATTTCCAGTTCTATCTAAAAGCAGTTATTATTTTTTTTTGTCTTTCTAGCCAACTTTACAAAGTTTGACAACAAGGCACATACAGGATATTTCCTCTTTGCTACATGTGCCCACAGCTCCCTTTGTACATCCAGATATCAACATTTTATTTACTTTTTGTGTGTAACCTGAGTTTTCTTCTCCCTTCCATCTGGTTTTTAATTGTAAACTCTGCTACACAGTAAGAGCAAATGTAATATTTCATTTTCACTTAGAAGAGTTTGATCACATAAAAGGTTTTAGTTTTCAACTAAAATCAGTATATGTTCAGTTTTAGAAATTTTCCACAGCAATGAAAAACACACTTCTGTCCATATATTACCTTACTGTTTCAGCTGTTTTCATCAAACCTTTAGAAGTAGCCCCCACAGTTTGCTCTTAATGTGTTTCAGCTTAAATCCTGATTGTTTTATAGCTTAGTTTTATGTCTTTAGTCCATGAGATGTTTATGTTTGTAATCTTTTCACTATAAGTGCTTTAGTATGTCCCACTTTGCTTTTCTCTTCCAGTTTCAGATTGCGTGTCGCTTCTGTAGAGGCAGCTGCTACACAGCGTGCCAGGCACTGTGTCTGTAGGCTAGCGCTCTCTGGTGGTCGTAGTGGTTAACTGCGCTTGGCTGCAAACTGCTGCCTCAGTTTCTCCCTCCTCTTCTTCTCCATCAACCTGGAAAACAAGGAGAAATTTAGGATATAGACAAGTTAGAATGCAAAACATTTATTCAAACAAGAAGGTAAATATAAAAAAAGATAATAAGAAAAAAAGGTGATGTGGACAGAATAAAAATGAATCCTTGGTTTCTTTTTTCAAGCCACTTCTGAGTTCAAAGTTCTATTTATCTGAACATCACAACTAAAAGCAGTAACAATAGAGAAGCAGTGTTAAAAACCTTTGCTTTCTTATAACAGCAACAGATCATTTGTATGAACTTATTAGCTACATATATAATTTTAGAGAAATTTTATGACGTTGCTTCAGTTCATTAAAGTTTCACACTAGTGGAGTCACTGCAAGACTTTGATTCTTTTCTTTCGGGTGTTTGTGCTCAGAGGCAAACACAGATGCTCATTTTTCCAAAATAAAATTGGCATTTTATTTTAATCCTGCAAAACAAGTCAATATTGTTCAGTCTAGTATATCTATATTTAATTGTCCTGTGAATAGCTTTAACATTGCTAACTGAGGGCAATGTAAAAGCATTTCCCTCAGTTGCAGATATGGAGCTTCTTGTTTGATATTTCTTCATGGTCTCAGGTTAACTAAAAATGATGCTATAAAAACATATATCTAATGGTTTTGCCTGCTCCGCCAAGCCTTCAGAACTCAGAGTTATTGTGGACAAGATGACAGTTCTGACAACAGATGGTTTGCGGCTGCTCTCCATCGCGGGGGCGTTGTGATCTAACAGGTTTGCAAGTTCAAACATCTTGTTTTCCTGATGACACACAGAATGTTGTGCCGACGGAGAGCATCAAAATTTCAGTGCTACTTTAGCATTTTGAGGAAGCGTCAGTTTTTAATATTTGCATGTCATACAATTTATATTTTACTGACATTTTCAAACAAGTATTTCTGCATTTTCATGACATTAGAGCTACAAAAAGAGAATAACAGCTTTTGTCCTGTTTTTCCTGTTGTCTAAGAAGTAATCTGATTTTATGCCAATGTCAGGAATGAACATTCATTATTTCTGTATGTTTCTGTCCCTTCTGATGGTGCGCCATCCGTTACCGGTGGTTACGAGCTTCCACCAGCTCACTCAGCTGGTCCTGAGTGGCCCTGAGCTCCTCCACACTCTGCTGGTAGCTCAGATCTGCGGATCCCGACCTCTCTAGGAGAGAAACCCTGGTGGACAACTCACTCGTCCGATCCCTCAGCCGCTCGATGGATGTGTACATGTTCTCGTCGTCTTCTTCCTGCAGTTGCAGGCAGGGCGAGGAGAGCAGAACGTGAGAGGTCATGTAAGGTCACAGCAGTGATGTGCAGTCAGAGGAGATACTGATAGATATTTCTATAGTTGGCAAGCTTTAAATCTGAAACCTGAAATAACCATGAACAACACGCTCAGTGGTAATTAAGCCAAAAGTGTACGAAAGTATATACATTTTACAGTTAAATAAAACTAATAATGTTCTACATCAAACTTCTTAAGTAGCTTAGCTTTAGCTTCACTTGTCTTAAAATTCTGTGTAAAAAAAACAAAAACAAAAAAAACATCTATTGAATACCTTTTGCTATCCATTTCTTAACTGGTTAAACAAATGATTAAGTGTGGAAGTGAACACAAAATGAATGCTCATTGTTGTACTTTCTTATTTAATAGAAGAATTATTTGTTTATTTGTATCATTTAAAGTCTCTGTATATGTGCATAAAAAGTTTTAACTAGCTAAATTTCTTATCTGATTATGAATAATCAATTATTAAAATAATTGATGGCTGCAGCCCTTGACACAAGAAAGAGGGGAGACAGAGCAAAAGGAAGGAAACAAAGGAAGGGAGGATAGAAATAGGGAAGAACAGCATGAGAGGAAGAGAGGAAGGACAGTGAGGGAAAGCAAGTTAGGGAAGGGAGAAAGAAGGAGGGAGAGATGGGAGGTATTACACAAGGTCTGAATAAAGAACATAAAGGAGTATACAAGGACACCTCATTTCAACAACAGGAGAGGAAATAAAGGCTGGGAACACAAAAAACATTTCAACAATCTTCTTTTTCAAACTTGCATAGCGATGGAAAATACTCAAATAACCTTTAAAACCTTTCCAGGCTGTGGAGGAAATCTGTCAGATACAATCTCCAAAGATAAAAAAAAGTGACCTTAAATAATCAACATTTGCATTTTTATACATTGTGTCTGTAAAAGCTATAAAGAAGCATTTGTTGTGTTTAAGGGGCAGAGGAGCAGCACAAAATGAAGGGAACCTCAAGAATGAACCAGTAACATGTTGTCAGATATGACAGAAGTATGCTTTTGTCTCAAATGAAGTAGGCAAGAGAGATTTATTGTGCAAATATTTGATTGTTTCAATCATTTAACAGCTGCTGGAGGGATGTGGTTGGTTTAGATCCAACGTCAAACCTCACCCAGCTAAAAACCTGCGCCTACCTTTGCATTGTAGATCTCTATGTGAACCAGAAGTGAGGCCAGCTCCAGCTCCTCACTGTAGCTGTTCTTCAGAGGAACACTCCTGTAGCCTAGGAGACGGAAACATAACATGGAGCGGGACGTTCATTAAAAACACATTTTCCGTCCGATGCGTCGAGGGGAGGGAGCGGCTCACCTGTCCGCAGCAGACGGACCGGATATGTGGCCTGTGCCAAGAAGTTGGGATCACTGAACATGTCCTCTTCGAAAACGGTGAAGCGCAGGAAGGAGAAGGTGGGGTTGTGGATGTCGAACACAAACTGCCTCTGCACCCACACAGGATTCAGACCGTTATCAGCTGGGAGGGCCGAGAGGAGGAGACGGTTAACGTGCCGAGTCAGAGCACCGAGACAAAACGCTTCAGACGCAACGCAGCAGCTGCCTCACCTACGACGTCAGTCTTGCACTTAAAGCCGTCGTAGTCGGCTCCACAGATCTCCACCTCCACGAAAGGACAAACGATGCTGCGGCCATTTTTCGGCAGATGGCGTGCTCCCAGAACCTGATTGAAACAAAAGTTGAAATGTTAAAGATTTTCAGGGATTTTTTTTCTCCTTCTCATCAAACATCTTCTTGAATGGCTCCAACTACAAGTCAGGCTGACCTGTAGCTGGAGGGTGATTGGCTCAACATGCAGTGTGTCCTTGTCAAAAGGATCAAAGGTATCATCTCTCATGATGTCAGGTTGGGGGACGAAGCCACTGCTGCCTCCAAGCAGGAACAAGGCCTGGTTCAGCTGCATGGGTTTATCTGCAAACAAGCATTTTGAAGAACTATCTGTTTTCTGATTGTCTTAATGTGAAATTTGCTCCTGAAGCATAAAGAAGACGCCGACCTGGAGTTTGGAAATTGAGAGCAACCAGCTGGGAGCCGCAGAGCCACATGGGCAGCGGGTCGTAGTTGGAGGAGTCCAGTCTCTGGCCTCTGGGATAAACTCTGGACAGCTGCCGGCGGTTGTACTGCAGGAAGCGCTTTCCTCTGGTGCGAGTCGCAAACTTCTCCGCTTTTGTCTCCGGGAAGGAAGACATGTCCCTGTAACAGGCACGCTCAGTCCCGATTTCTGCAAAAGCAAAGATCACAGAGAAACTTAAACATGGAACATTTAACAATTTTTTTTTTCTTTTTAAAGTAAGGATGTTAATTTTGAAGCTCACTGTCTTCGTTGAACGGTACCGGCCGGCAGTAAACCACAAGATCAGACAGTTCAACAGCAATCTTCTTCCTCCTCTCCATTTGTTTCTCCTCCTGCATCTGTTGCCGTAGAGATCAACCAAATTTAACATCTTCTCATGACTTGTACAATGTAGATTTTGAACCATGTATCATCTTCTTTCCATTAGTCAAGTCTCTAAATGACTTGACCAATGAAACAAACACTGAGGTTTGTGGTTGTAATGTGACAAGACTTCATGAGGCATTAACAGTTGAGCAAAGCACTGATAGTTGCACAGAAACATCAGTGTGGATGGTGTTTGTAGGTGTTTTCTGTGTTGCGTTGCACTGACCCGTGCATCAGCATTCTGTGCAGCTTCTCTGATTTTGCTGACCCAGCAGTTGAGATCTTCCAGACTCTCCGCTGCCACGTCCAGACTCTGGACCGGGTGAGAGCTCAGGTGCTGCGAGTGGATGGTAAACACAAAGGGCCGGGAGTTCTTCCCATCTTTATGCACGGCTGGAGGGAAGGAGAGAAACAGGAGGAGGATGGAAGGGCATTCAGTGGGTTTATTGTTGAGAAATTGTTTTTGGAGAGAATCTGGGAGCCAAAACACTGACAAGAAAATCATCTGCACAGTGATACTGTAACAGTAAATAGAAGGTGTGGGATATTTGCAAAAAGTAATATTTGAAGCCTCTTTAATAAAGTTTAAGATAAGCTTTAAATCTTACTGTTTTTGCTGAACTAAAAGAAAAAAACATAATTCTAACTAAGATTTACTCACCAACATGGCAGGTGGGTACATCGATGAAGCCTTTCAGGAGATTACCCAGAGGACTGTTCTCTGTAGACTGAAGCAACAAAAAAATTGGAAAAATCTGTTTTATTTCCAATAGTTAAATGACAGCACGAAGATCTTCGGATGTCAGGTTCAAATCTCGACTCACTGCTTCATCCATTTCTCTGGTAGGGGAGCTGGACACCTCCTCCACGTAGTTTGCAGGAAACCACAGCTGCTTCTTTCCTCCGTAGTCGCCTCTCCACCTGAATGCAGCACACAGCACGTCGACGCTGACTGACTTTTATATGAAAACAAGTGACCTAGAGGAAGCTGCATAGCTGAGCACTCACCAGCCGCCCTCCTGCTTGTCCACGTTCAGGATAAGCGCTTGTTTGGGGAAACAAAGCTCATCTTCTCTCTGCGCTCGGTAGTCATACAGAGCTTTGACTGTACACTGAAATGTAAGGTAAAGAGAAATGTTTGCAGTTACAGTATGAGCAGAACATGCCTCTACAAAACAACGGCCTTTCTTTTCTCTTTATATGTCTTTAGGGATTTTTACAGATGTTTTGATGAAGATATTGAGTTGCTTCAGAGATGAGTGTTATAGTGTGTAGGATTATCTTTTCCTGGTATTAGAAACTGTGGCATACCTTTAGCATTTGCAACAAATTCTTTAACTAAAGACGCAAACTACTAAAACTACCAATCCTGGTTCTCCAGGGTCACTGTTTTGTATGTTTACCTGCTGCTGCACCTAAAACATGCAGTGCTGTAGGCGCTAGAGGGCCAGTGTAGAGGATTAAAGCTCCAGCTCACCCGCGCTGTGGGCATCTTGTTGGCCTCGACATAAAAATGAGGAGTTCTGGCCTCATACAGTGCTCCATAGTCAAGCTCCTGAGAAGGCAAATTAAACAGATTTTAGCACATCCTCTAAACACGTGGGGCTCTGGCCCACCAGCATTCCGGTTTGGTGTTTATATGTTTTTTCCTCTTTAAATAAGCAGATTGACATTTATGAGAGTTTTACTCCGCTTTGATTCGGAAACGTGATTTGTTCCAAGAAAGCAAAAACAGATTTTACTCGTAGATTCTTGCCAAGCTGAAAAGTCTTAGTAAAAAAAAAAAAAAAAAAAAATTAAAAAATATGCTGAACCTAGGACTGAATTAATCCAATAGCTAGACAGCATTTCTCATCTCTAAGGCTCTAAATGATATGACAGGATGTTGTGGTCGACTAAATGTGTTGATTCAAACATTTTTAACTGAATATATCATATAAAATAGGTCTCAAATTTAAAAAAAAATATATATAAATAAAATATTGATGACAAATTAATGTTTCATTTTTCATTTTGAGCAACGTCTTACCACGGTGCCCATTCGGTCCAAAGTGTCTTCGTTTATTGGGTAGCGGAGCTTCATCTTACGGTACAGAGGATGTTTCTCATAATAACAGACTAGATCCACCAAACTCTCAAACTCTGCCGAACCCCCCAACATGAAGAGACGCCCGTCCTGCTGGATGCGACAGTGTTTGATCTTACCCTCCGCCCTGCAAGCCAATAGAGAGTTACTTATAATAAAAAATAAAAATAAAAAAAAAACACACAGAATAACTCAAGAGAATTTCACGAGCAGTACTGTCCATAAGACTATTGAGTTCAAATGTAGGGCTATGTTGGTCAGTTACCTGAAGGAGATGGCGTAGGAGTTGTGCTCGCTGCGTTTTCGCACCAAGAAAGCTCCGTCTCGGGGAACGCGCATCAACATGTGCTCAGCTTGGACACGGGACAGGTTGGAGTGGTACCACCTGGACAACAAGAGGCACTATTATTTTCAAGCTATTCTGTATTTCCACTTGTCTACCATTTAGTTTGTTTTAAAAAGGTTTGAATTGGTTAAAATATTGAGAATGCCCTATCAATCAATCGAGTTTATTTGTATAGCACAATTCAGCAGAACATGACTCTTTGTTTTTTATTATTATTATTTTTAGTCTAACAAGGAAAAAGTAAACTATGGTTTACTTTTTTTATAAATAGGAAGAGTCATGGTGTCAAATGTGACTGGATTTATATGTTTGGTTCCACCTTAAACTCTCATGTCCTCCCTTGCTGGCAGATGTTATGCATTACATTTATAAACTATATTGCTTCATGAAGTCAGTTACTATATATTAACAGTCTTGAAATAATGACTAATTTTAATGAACAAATTTGGGGAAGGAGAGAGCGGGATTAAAAATAAAATATATTTTATGCAACTTTTCTATAGAATAATCTCCTCCTACATTATACAATGCAAGGAAGACAATGTATGTATTTTAAGGATGTACTCAGTAGGACAATACACATGTTTTCTCCAGTGGTGAAGTTTCCTGGTCTGAGTCACTCACTCTCTGCTCTCGTGTGCGTTGGGTTGCGGCACGGGATTTTCCAGCCTCATTTCAAACTCATTGCAGCGCAGCGGCACCTCTCTGTAGTGGCAGATGAGATGGTAGAGGCTGTCAAACACAAGGTTGTCTGTCAGGTAGAATCGGGTGGAGCCAGACTCCTGACGCGAGTGGATCCTGCAGTGCTGCACCCGACCAGAACGCCTGGAGGAGGAGGAGGAGGAAAAGTAGATTTCCTGCTGTGATTGGCTGGATGAGAATTTGATAGCCGTAATCTTAACCTCACGTGCACCGCTTCAGCTGCCACTGTACCAAGTTAAAAGAGAAATGACTCTAACCAGAAGGACAGGGTGTAGTCTCCGACAAATGTCTCGCTCTCTCGCACCAGGAAGGTGCCGTCTTTGCCCCCGCCTTCACAGTACTCCTGGAGCAGCTTCTCTGCCACCTGCCGACCGTCGCGACCTCCTCCCAGCTTCCCATGAAACCAGCGCTCTGCACAGTGCTGCTCGTTGTTGTTACACTCCTGACAAAGCCCAGAAGGGCGGGTGGGGGGGGCGGGAAGCATGAAGATTTAACACTGAAGACGTCAAACAAACAATATAGACTTTTTATTCTGTTAGTAAAACCAGATTATCTCCTTACCTCCTTTAACATATCTTCCTCTTCTTCATCAGCTGTTTGGTAGCGAGATGTCTCCTCTGAGTAGTAAATCTTATTGCTGGTCAAGACGAAATAATGTGGTGTCCAGGTCTGGAAAGTACGCAAAAATATTTCAGCAAACATAAGTTCAGGTATGCGTAGGTCTTTAGGAATGACTGCAGTGTCAAAAGGAAAATATTAATACTGAAAAATTGTAAAACACCTTTTGTATTTTCTTTGAAATATAATGTTATATTCATTCGAACTGTATTTTTGTGTCATATATTTTTATTTTCTATTTTATTTCAGTATTTAGTGTTTCATACTAGCTTTCTTTTCGCTCTGAGCCAATCAGGCGTAAGCCACAGCGAGCTTCTGCCTCTTCTGTGATGAAAGCCAATTGAATCTGAGGTTTTACCGCCTACTGCTGTCCTTGGTTTCACCTTTAAATGTTTTCTTATTCCATGTGAGGTGAGAAATTTCACCTATAAAACAAGAATCGCAATAAATGGAAAAATATTCAAATGAATGAAATTAGCCTAAATTTAAAAGGCATGCTACGTTTTGTCATTTGATTTTTTTTTTTCTCATTAAAATGGATTTAGTTTTTATATTTTTGTATTTCAAAAGTTATTCAGTTTTCAGTATATTTTCTGACATTTGTTATTTATTTTGTGCTGCTTCAATTGTTGTGGTAACTTGAGAGAGAGAGAGAGCAGACGAGCTCACATGGTCGATGGGGTCCTCGAGGTAAAGGATGCCGTTCCTCAGTGAGTTGCTGATGTCGTTTTCAGAGTAGCTAGCTGAAGTCACCTCTTCATACAGGGTTCCTTCCACCAGCTTTTTGTGCTGCAGTGAAATAATTAAGAGATTCAGTAAGCAACTATCCTCTTTTCTGTTTAGAGATTTAAAGGAATAAAATTTTTCAGGATGAAGAATTAATGCAAAATTAACAGGCTCGTTCAAAAAAACCGTCTCGTGAATATGGAGGGCTCCATTTGACTCGTGGTCAGATTTTCAACATTCAAAGACGTTTTTGGTCTCAAATAGGCATCAAGAAGTCACCTTGATGAGGATCTTCCTGCGGAGCTGGTAGGGTGAAGGAAGCTCGTCTGCGTTATTGTCAACCGGCTTTGTGAGCAGCAGCTCTCCAAACACCTTCTTGAAGTGCGTCGCCATGTTCCTCTGCTGGACCACACTGCAGTGGTCCTCGATGGATAAGATCACAGGATACCTGCACAGGTATAACAACGGGAAGGTGAACTGAGCTGTTGGAGAGGGTCTGGGTTTAAAAAATGTTGTTTCGCTCATATTTTAAGGTCAGCCGAACTCACTCGGATGTGACAAAGGCGTGTTCTTTGATGGTGTGCAGCACATCCAGGAATTTGATCTTGGAGGTTAAAGTGTGGCCGTGGTAGATGATTGGCAGATCATCTGGTCCATCCCAGCAGTCCACTGAGAGCACAAAGCAGAGAATCAACATCGGCTCTCAAAGACAGAATCAATCTTCCAACCCCAACGATTACTAGCAGCTTTAAAATGCCTTCCTTACGTTCAATGCAGCGGCAGCCCATCCTAAGACAACGAGCGTAGGCTTCTAGAGACGACTCACTGGAAAACTGATCACCTGTCAGGTACCTGAAAGACCAGGTAACAGATGCTCTTACAATGTGTACAGGGATAAATATATATACTAGTAAAAAAAAATCTAATAAATTATTGTCTAAAAGTCTCAAAGTAAAGCAGCTTCTTCAGAAACAGTGGTAATTAGTAGTTTTAGATTAATGCACATAATATTATCCTTGAAAATAATTTAATTTTAAAAATACAATTACTAAGAATGTTTTATTTTTCTATTATTGTAAACAATGTAAAACTATATGTTGCCAAACTATACAAACAAGCTGGATGTTGCAAATTTCAAACATCTTTTTGGTTGAACAATTAAAGCTAAAATCCCTTTTGAAAAACCTTGAGAATGGGGGCCACATTAAAAGATAAGAAATAAATAAATCTGAATCTAAATAGATCTGAAAGTAACTCTTCACAATGAAAATACAAGTGTATAATTTAATGAAAACTATCCCATAGTCTTAATCTAAAGGTTATTTCATTCTTTCAGCTTTTGAATAAACTGAGTTTAATCTTCTCAGAAGATCAGAATGGTTACCTCTATTACATAGAAATCAGCCATAAAAATATGTAACCTTATCCATTTTCTTTTACTCTTCATTTCCTTTTGAGTTATGGACCTGGTTGTCTTACGTGTTGTGTGAAGAGGAGATCCAGTACTGTGACAGCGGCCTTTTCATGTCGTCAGGGGCAACTGGTGAAAGTCGAGGGTCTGCCACAGTGTTTTCTTTTGAGAACAGGAAGGTCAGGAACTAAAAAACACAAATAAATGTACAGTAAGATGGCACAGTACTTCAAATATTTCTTTCTTGTGTCTCAGAGGGTTTGTCACCTCATCCAGCTGCAGCATTGGTTCAGGCTGAGGTCCTTCTCTCATGTAGGTCATCAGAAACTCCCTGACTCGACTCAAATCTGATGCCCAGGACTCCTGAAATAAACACAAAAAAAGAAAGCTGAGGCAAAGCAGGCTCTATGGATTTGTGTGTGTGTGTGTGTGTTGTGCTGGTGAGCACTCTGTACCCTCTGGTCCATCTGCAGAAACTTCTGGAAGTCGTAGAGGGAGATCTGACAGAGCTCTGGTCGATCCACATTTCTACGAATACACCAAACTTAAGATGTTAAACCACAGATGTGTGAAAGCTGAACAAGAGTAAAGGTCAGCTTTCAGAGAAAAGAGATGTGATACATTAGCAGACTTTTTCCTTTGGTTGGGCCAAATCTAATTACACCACTTTTAAGGTAATGCCTCTTAACATGAGGAAAATGCTTCTTGTGCACCAAGCAGAAACAGAAACAGTTTAGTGCCAGTAATACAGCACAAACACATGGAAACATTTTCTGAAATACAAAACTGCTGTAATAAAGACCGACTGGACAAGTACACTGGGAACACTGGGGTGTGAAGGAGGAGAAAACGGAGGTGAAGGTGGAGGAACTCACCGCAGGGGAAAGGAGAGATCCAGCTGCTCAATAATCTGAGGAGGTAGAGGGAAGGATCCAGGTGAAAGGCAGGTGTGAGGAGGTCAGGTGAGGCATAAACACCAGAGGGAAAAATGAGTGCAGAGGTGGGAATTGTCAAAGTATCAGTGTAAAACTCACTAAAGAGGGACTCGGAACCTTTTAACCTATTTGTTTCACTTTACGTCATAATTAAGTCTTTGAAAATCGGCTGGGCTTTCGTGCTTTTCGTGCGACTTTTGTCTAAAACTGTTTGCCAGGCTTTTTATGAAATGTGACTATTAAAGCAAAACTGCATCTGGATTAGAGTGAGACTTACACTCCTCTGAGCGTCAAACATAAGCGTCCTGTAGAGCTGTGCAAAGTTTGAGTACAACAGTTCATTCTTTGCCTCCACCTCCTGGAGAAAAACACAGAAAAGAGGAGTTATGACACAAACTGGAGCTAGGCTCAGTTTCAAAGAGATCAAAAACACTAAATCATGAAGCATCTGGCCTGCAGTTTGTCTTTGAGAAAGCGCATGTTGGGGACTCTGTAGTTGATCTGAGGCAGAAGAGCTTTGACATCTTTCAATGTGATGCTGCAGAGGAAAGAAAAGATAAGTGTCAGTCATACTATCACACCAAGAAATGAGTCGCCAAGAACAACTTAAAAGACAAAGGACTTTTGCTGTAGACTTTTACAGTAAATACCCTAAACAGTTGCTTTCGGTGTGACTTTATTTGCCTCTAACACTGTATTTTGATCAAATCTTATTTTTTTAATGGCGCTTCAGGTCATCAAGAGTCACAGAGATTTTGTTCTGTCCAGCTTCTTTATGCTTCTATCAAAGCACATCAGTCAAGTTGAGGTGTTGACCATGTCTTAACGGAGGATGCCAGTAGGTGCATATGCTTCAGTTAGTCACACATTTTGTTTTATTCAAAGAACAGCACATGGATAATCATTTGGTAATTAAGTAAACACATGGTACAGTCAGAAGCAGAAAGAGGAAGGAAGTTCATAAAGCAGGTGGAGGGGAAAAAAGTCAATTCAGTCCTCTGAACCAGAGAGGGTTTTTCAAGGTCATCGACCTGGATCTCCGCTCACTTTGAGTCCGGTCACTTCCCCAGGGCTCCAACTGGCTACTGTTTCTATTTTCACAGAGGACAGGAAGTTGCCCTCACCCTATTCTCTCATCACATCCTGCTTCTTATCAAGCCGTGACAGGCTGTTTGTCCTGGAGAGGCCGACACCAAAACAGAAGCATGAAGTCCTAACATGTTCTCTGATGACACCTAGATCTGGTTTTACCTTCACTTTTGCCAGCTGTTGCAAAGCTGCAGCATTCCTCACTGGCTGCTGGCTGTTAAAAGTGAGATTGGGTGTTGACATGCTTTGCGGTGAGTCACTCACCAGCCCTCATGGTTCCTGTCCATGACTTCAAACTGCTTCCTCAACCACCTGCAGAGAAGGAGGAAAAGGATGCTGACTGAAAACTGATCTGAGCTAAAATGTTTACAGGAAAGTAAGCAGTACTGAAAAAGAAAAACAGACTTACAGCTAGTTTTTAATGCACTTTTTGTTTTCTGTCTGACTCAGTGGCGGAAGAGAAAGAATATTTGATTAATGCTAAATAAAACCAACAAGTTTCACCCTCACAGTACAACTTACAACTCACAGTAACACGTGTGAAGTGTTAATTAATTGCGTGTATTATTTATGAGTTTGTCTGGTTACATTTTTGCTTTTGGATGTTTTAAGCACAATTAATTGTACGCAGAATCGCAATAAAACTGTAATCAGTTGTCAAGCTGATACGGTCGCCACAATCATAACAGCCGGGCAACACGTTAATGAATCAACCATGGGCCCAGATTACTGGCAGACAGGTGACATGTCTTGCATCATTCAGCAGCTTGAAAAAAAAAAACTTTAAATGTCTTTATCTCTCCTGCCGGCTCATCAGCTGCCCTTTTGTGTTTTTGCTAGCAAGGATCAACATGCATGGGGCCTGTGCTGCCGGAACCGGTGCTGGTGTAAATGGTGTGGGATGTGTTTTCCTGGCACACCCTGAGCATCTCACTTCCAGGATAGAGCACAAAAATATACTGCAAATCATCTCAAACTGGTTCCTCAAGTATGAAAATGAGTTTACTGTAATCCAGCTGTCTCAGTGCAACACCTTTAAAATGTGGCGGAACAGGAGACTCTTCACATGAATTAAGTCGGCAGATACGCAGCAACTGTGTGATATGTCACATGTGTCTGAAATCTTGTTGAATCAATGTAGAAAATAAAAAAGAATGAAGGCAGTTCTAAGGTCAGCAAGGCACAGTTGATAAAAAGTCAAATAGGTGGTCACCATAGTACACCAAGTATGACAAAGTATTTACCCTGAGCCTTGAAATTAGGGTATTAAAGCTGAAATGTTTGTTCATGAGGTAACAAGATTTCTGTCAGGGTTACAAGCACATGAAGCATTTAAGATTTATTGGGATTCAGGTTCATCTGCTCTGTCACAGGTCTTCAGGTGTTCCCTTTCTTTTTCAGACTTAAAAAATATATTTTAAACAACTCAACCTAAAGATGATCCGAATAAAATCCATTAAACATCATTAAAATCAGCTGATAGACCCTTCCTAAAAACAACTTCAGAAAAACAGACAAAATCAGCCTTTTCATTTCCTCCCAACGTTCCCACTAAGCTGTTTGTCTGCTTCACAGCCTCGTGGTGTTTTCCTGCTTTCACCCCTGACGCCCAAAACAGCCTCTGAACATTCACCGGTAATAAATATTTTTATCTCCAACTAAATATTTGTCTTCTCTGAGTCCATGTCCAGACTGCCTCTTCCCTGCTGCAGCCAGACGACACTAAATGGCATCCAGGGTGGGGAGCACTGATAAGTGCTTTAATGACTTCAGAAACATGTAATTTTATTGCACTGTAAAACCTACCAGTCTGTCAGCTCCTGACTGGAAGGTTTATTTAGCTCATTAATGCCAGCACCCTCCACATTTATTGGTGCCTCTGCAAAAGATGTTCCTAAAATTTAATTAATCTTAATTAATCTAGGTTTTAGGAAAATTCAGTCTTTAAGTGGGGATGTATTTTATTATTGCATAGGCATGGAGAGTCCAATACTAATGTTTCTATTATAGATAACCACTTGTCTTGAAGTAAAAAAAAAAAAAATGAAAACAGCGCAAAACTTCATCAAGTAGTTTTCACAGAAACTGCTATGGCATATTTTGGAAAATCGAATGGTTTACAGACCTTTCTATTTGCTGTGGTGCTGGTGCTCTCTGGGTATCGACCATCAGCCAGTTCAGACCCGCGATCCACATGTTGACTTCCTCTTCACTGTAGGCTGACATCACAGAAATAAATATAGAACAAATCATTAGTATCAATTAGCAAATTTTTTGGGACAAAATATTAGCATCATTGACAAGCTAAGCAAATCATAACTGCCTTTACATGTTACAGACATCCCTGATATACAAAATAAACTAGTTTGGCCCCAATATAAAACCATGTGGTACCTCACAGGCCATCATCAGTAAATCTCAATTCTCATTACTTAGCTGTGCAAAAACAGTTTCTAAGATAAGTGCATATCACAACCCAAAACATTTATTTTTCTACATTTGGTAGAAAGGAAAAACTGTTGTCATTTCTGATGAGTCAAAGTTCAACATCAGAGGAAATACTCAACCTTTGGTAAAGAAACAAACAGACAAACACGCACACACAAAAACACATTGTATATAAAGTAGCTGTTAATTTTGAAAATCACTTGATTGGTGTGTGATTTTTTTCAATCAAGATAGCCTTATGCTTATGGAAATTGCAGACCTGGAACATAAACCCATGTGAACAACTGTTGAGTGTCAAACCTTTGCTATCTTTGTCTAAAACCAGTGAAGTCACTAATAATAAATTCTCGTTAGATTTCAGGATACAAGCAGGGAGGGGGTTTATTGAGCCAAAGCATTAAAGCGGGAAACTTAAATCATACTGTTGGCTTTAGACCAAACAAATATACAGACTCTGGAGCATACCTGATTTTTAAAGATTTCTTATGTCAAGAAATAAATCTACAAAATAAAAGCAGCAAGTTTTGGGACCTTTAATCTATCCAAATTTATGCTGACCTGCCAAGCTGAGCGTCCGCAGGCGAAACTCGAGGCCATACAACACGATGAAGCAGTGGGCCGAGTCCAGTTTACGAGCCTCCTCTGGGTACCGCTCAAAGTCACGCGAGCCTTTCCCCAACCGCAGCTCCCGGATCTCCCGTATGTCAACTGGGGGAGGAAGAAGAGGAGGAGGAGGAGGAGACAGAGGAAGGATAGAGTTGCATGAACCCAAATATGTTCAACCATTAATCACACTTTGGCACGTTGTTCGTTTCCGTGCCAAACACACAGAAACCTGTTGCTGGAAAACTGCACAAATGGTCACTTTGTGAGCAGGAGACCAGAAACAGATTCACAAACATCTCAACCGTGGGCTGCAGGAAGAGTGAAATATCTGCAGACATCTTTAACTGCAAGAATACTTTTCAGACTCACAAAAAGACCTGAAGGTTTTATTGTACTTTAAAGTTACTTTATTCTGGTCAAGCTGACCGGTAAAAGCTGCATCAATGGGAGGGAAAGGGAAAAAGCAGGCTTTTTGTTTTTTGTTGTTGGTTGTCTTTTGTTTTCAAAGTAATAATGCAAGTCGCTGCAAAATAAAACAATTCTCTATATTACTTGTTTAAATTTAGAAGAAAACTATAAAATGTTAATTTAAGGACCTTAAGGACATTTTAATAAGAAAATATTCCTAAAGCAAAAAGATTAAGTCAATTTTAAGTTTGGCAAACATCCTGATTTGCTCATGTTAATGTATCTTTATGAAACAAACCTGCGAAGTATCACATTGTTTGGTTCTTTGACCAAAAGATGGATACATGGATATCATCAGCATACTAAGGTAGTATGCTGATGATACTCCCTTAAGTCAGATAAATACAACTCATTTGCTTAGACTACAGAACTGAACTGCTTAATAACAAAGAAAGGCTTCTATGTATTTATGTATTAAAGATATAAAAGTCTGATTAACTTAGACCTCAGCTTTTAAACTGAGATTGTAATGTTTGCACCAGAGTGACTGAAAAACAAACTGCTTATTGTCAGGCAATAACTCTGGATGGTGTCCTTGATCTCATCTTTGGTGTCAAATTTAAGCAGGACAAGCCATTTAAATCCCAAAATAAACAGAATGAAACATTTGAATCTTGAAGTTGCACACAGACAGATTGTACCAAATTGTGGTATCCATGTGGGCCAAGCAACAACCTTGGGTATATCTTGTGTCAGCAGTGTGGGTTTGCTCTTAACCAGATATAAATGTCTATGTCTAAAACAGCTTTCATAAGATAGGAGTCTATTATTATTATTATTATTTTTTTTTTTTTACCAAAATATATTATGTGTTGTAATTTAAGTCATAAAAATAACCTTATAATGTGTCCATTGTCAAAGAGTCGAAGTCTGACAGTGTGTTAGCAGTGAGTGTAGCTGACTCTGAAGGGTTAAAGGTTCAGGGAGCAACCGCAGAATGTGATGTAAACTCTGGACTCTACTTTCACACTTGCAGCAGTTGACACACCCACAAAGAAAACCTCCAGCTTATTGACATAGCAGATGTCCAGTGCAAACACACATAAACACACTCTCATAGACACTCAGCACATTCACACACGGCTGAACGGCTTTAAAAAAAACCTTGCAAACAATTTTCCACAAGTGGAACTTCTTCTACGTGAAGTCAGCGACTTTATAGCTTTTGGGCACTGAAAAATAAGTCTTTACAACTTACGTCGTTTATCCAGCATATAGCAGACAAGAAATAAATCATGTTCAAATCAATGTGGGTTGCCTTCAGGAGGTTGTAAATAATCCTGAATCAAAGAGACAAGAGTAGATCTGGTTCTGATCTGAATGGTCTCCATGTGCAGGGAGAATGTTTGGCATGAGATTAACTGAGAGCATCATCTTCCTCACATGGTGGCTGGATTTTAGTTGATCGTTTTAAGAGATCATTCTCTGATCTCCATTCAAGTGTACAAAAGCAGAAATATAATTTCATATTCAAAAAAGTAAAAAAAAAAAAAACATTTACCACATTGCCATGCACTGTAAAAACTCTTTTTTATGTTAAAGTGGCAGTGTTGAAATATTTAAAGCAGTTAAAGCAACGATTGATGTTTTCCAATTAATTCTGGCTTGCATTTCTCTATGAAAAAGTTTTCAAATTTATCCAAACTGCACAAAGGTTTCCGCTGTCTGTCCTCACTTCCTGTCTAGTTTAATAACTAATCGTCTCTCTTGTGACGGCACCAAAGACAGATTGTATTGCTCCATATATGGGTATAAAACAGGTAGAAGCAGTTGGGCAGACTATTATTGCTTCAACTACAAAGAGAAGAATAACAGTGCAGGAACCATGGATGGTTATCATGAGGAAACACAAAAAGGGAAGATTCTTGCAGGTCAGGATACAATGTTCATGTTAGAGGGTCTGAGTCAAAAGATGCATACTTCTGTAGCATCATCAATTTATTTAACCTTTTGACAAATTTGGTGCTGTACTAGAAAGCATACAACTCTCTCACTATTAAAAGTAATATAGGAAGAAATACCTATATTACCTTATATTCAAGATTTTGTTCTGAAAAACATAAATTAATTTAGTTTCCTACCAGATTAAAACTAACCTAAACTCATGCATTGCAAGTGAGCAGCAGTTTGATGGCTATCAACTGTCTTCCTCAGAGTAGAGTCAACTGTAAAGTCTGGTAATGTAAAGGATGGTGTCATCTGCATACAGGTGCACTTCAGTTGTAGGTCCCTGAATTGGACCTACAACTGTCCCTGAAGTTGTAGGTCTTTTTTTGCATTCCCTTTATAATTTCCTGCCACTGAGTTTGGGCGTTGGACATTGAGGAAAATAGGCTCTCAGCACACAACACACCACAACCTTTCAATCCTGGCCTTTGCTGTAAACACGGCTGTGATAAGGACACAGCGCTGCTTCAGCTTCCAGACTGACATCACCTCTAATGAGCATGAAGGGTCAGAACATGAGAAACATACAGATGACTCAGATCTGATGTTCTACACTAGTATGTTTCCTGCTTCATCGGCAGCTGTCTCTCCCTTCTCAGTTAGCTCTCAGTGCTAGAGTGAAATACAGCTTATGAAAACAGCTGCATGTTCTGCTGACCTGAAATACCCAGCTGCTCATAATTGCAGAGTATTTCCAGTGAAGTAAACTTGTTCGTGGTACAGTTGGCCACATCGTTCCCTGCCAGATGGCACCCCGAGTTTAGATGAAGTCCAAGAAATTTGATCAAACTAAAAAATTACACAGGTTCTGGTGGAAGTGAACCCTTCAAAAAGTGTCCAGTGATCATAATGATGGACTTACATTTGAAATACAATCCTTACATCTTTTAGGCTTATATTTTGGAATAACCACAGCAATCTTCACAACTGTTGTCCCCTCCCTGGATAAAAAATGGTAAAAAGCATTAAAAGAAATTAAACTTTTACTTCAGCAGCAGAATGTCAGTTCTATTGTTATGTGGACAAAAACTTCTTTGGGTCATAGTCCAAATGGCTTGGGGCAGAACAGACTGGTAAATCAAGTGCTTTGCTTATTGGCTTTGCTCTTTTACCATAACAGACTGGAGCAAGGTCCTAATTACTGCAGCCGAGGCCCCTGTCTGTCTATCCATCTCCCACTCTATTCCACAAAACACCAAGCTACTTGGCGTTCTCTGTTTGAGGGAGATAACACTGATTTTACTGAAATTGCCATGTAATTTCAATGTATTATCAGCATTTCTTTAATCTAGTGATTCACAAACCGATAATATACTGTAGCCTGTGAGAATAATTTGATGACATATGAATCACCAGAAATGGAAAAAAAAAAGCATTGTGTTACTGGAGCCATGAAGTATAGTTAAATATGCAGCAGCCATATTGGATTTTGTACAGAGGATTGCTAAAAGACGCTCCAACTTTTCATGTCAAAAAGTCCCATTTCAGGAGTGTTCCAGTTCCTTTGTCAAATGTACAGTGCAGGAATTTAAAATTTCAGAAACAAGTGTAACACAATAAAACGTCATCATATTTTTACAGATTACAACACATAAACTACTCATCAAAGGAGTCATGCGTTGCAATTTTACAAGGCATATAAAGCTCTGCTACTATTAATACATCTGTCTTCAAACTGATTTAGAATAAAAAGAAATGTTTCCATGAGCATGAGGACACAACAATCTTGGACTACCACAATATACACGGAGCAAGTCAAAAACTGGATTCCAAGGTTGTTTTCCAATGTGCAAAATAAAGTATTTAGCTAAATTTCACTGATGTTAGTTTAGCTTCTGTTTTTAAGGAGTTAACTTTAAATTTCATATGAACAAAGAGCTAACATTAACTGTGTTCAAAAGTACTCATTGCATGAGTCAAACCACTCGTAGTACCAGAGGCGCCTCAGTTGTGTTCCATGTCCCTCCTTCCTGCAGAAGATTCAGAGCTTTTGTTTTCAGTCCTTCAATCTGAGACGGGAAGGGAGACACTCCCTGATAACCCAACACTTCCTGTGCCTCAGGATTTTATACATCCACCGCTTGGCAAGGCACTCATCTAAAAGCAAAACACAGAATCAGAGTCTATGTTCTTGCTTTTTTTTATTTTTTATTTCTTTTTAGCTTATTTTAGCATTTTTCCTAGTGTAGTACCCAACTCTACTGAAGCTAAATCCTACTGAAACTCGTAGGTCCTGGTTGGAGCTGAGGTGAGAGTCAATCCAAGTTTGGGAAAAAAAAAAAGGTATCTGCAGAGATTTGTGTGTGGTATGATAAAGCAAATATTAAAGCAAACCACAGGAAAAAGAAAAAACAAAGAGCTGGCAGAGGTGATGAGTTGGGAGGTCAAACAGATCAACGTGAATAACGACTTCAAAACGCAAAAGAAAAGCGAAAGAAAACAGAGTGAGACGAGCATATCTGAAAACAAGCAGGGTGTTTAGGTAAACGTGTGGGGGCCGGAAATTTGGAAATTATAGCTGGGAGGAAAAGAATGGAGAGATGAGAGCAGGAGGAAGCAAAGAGGTAGAACTGTAGGAGATAAAGTGAACGAGAGACCCGCTGAGTTCCTGGAATCTGCTGGAGGCTTCGTCCGGTGGGAGGTTGTTTGTAAAGGGCCGATTTGGGGTTACGAAAACATGTGTGTGTATGTGTGTGTGTAAAAGGAACATTTTCATTACTCTGCATGAAAATGCGTGGATGAATAAACCTGATTGGGAAATATAGTGGGGTTCAAAACAAAAGACAGAATCCTGAAAATGTTAAATTAGAGGAGAAACCATAAATGAGACAGGAATCTTAGGAAAACCACAACTTCATAATATAAGCAGACGAAAATATTAATCTTTCAAATAATGAGGAGATGTGTGCAGTGGATCTGATCAGTCAATGTGCTACATGCAGATTCAGATCAGATTCACTACAGCTGCTGGCAATTCTGAACACAAGAAGAGTAAACGAACAAAAGGAACCAAAGGCTGCTCAAAGTCAATCTGGAAGAAGTTTGGAATTTGTTTTCTCCATTTTTGCTTCAAGAGAAGCTTTTAATTTGAAAATGGGAGTTGACACGTTTCATATCCACTCTATATTCAGACGAAACGTTGGTGTATTCATGTTACGCCTGTTCATACTTTTACTATTCGTTCCTTGTCTTGAGTTACCTACATCTGTCTGATGTGAAAAATATCCGGCCTGTTCTTCTGAGGCCGAGGGATTATTTTCTTTACAGAGTTCTGCTATAAAGTTAGAAAGACACATGGCAGACAGAAGGAAACTCTATCATGCCAGTTGAGAATGCTTTAAGTCGTTTTTTTTTTTCTTTTTTCTTCTGCGCCAACTTTAACTGCAACAAATCCGTCTTCAGACCACAAAATCCGGGTTGCAGACAATAGCCTCCACGCCCTAGACGGGGCGGATGGACCGCGCAACAAGCGTCTGCTGCTTGGGCCCACATCCAGCCAGGAAGCCTGAGGCCAGTCGAGGATCCGTGCGACAGCAGCACGCCGCCGTGCCTGGAGAGTTACTGAGAGGTCGAAGTGGAGGAAGCAGAGGTCACAGGGTTGTGCTCTGTCTGTCAGCTGAAGAGGCCGTGACAGCGCGTTAGCTGAGGGGGACTCGACCGGCCTTTCCACGACAGAATGTCACATTTTGAAACGAGGAGGGGGAAGGGACAACTCTGCAAATGTGTGGCTTTGGAAGGTTTAGATACTAAAGACTGAATGGAAATCAGTATTTGTTATTTTAAGTTATTTCCTACAACAGCAATTAAAAAGTCTATGACCTGGAGGAAGAAAAACCATCCGAGTGTTGTATTAAGTTCTCTTGTCTTTGTGTGTGTATTTTAAGGGGCCGGGCTAGCCAAGCTTAGAAAGCTTAAATTATGAAATAAATTTTGGTTTTCTGCAGGTTTAAATAAAGGTTAAGAACAGCAGCTCGCTAAAACAACTCAAAAGCAGCAGAGAAGCTTTCTGATGCAGCAGCAACCTGCAGGACGACTCTTGTATCTGCTCCGTTTGGCTGACGAAATACACCGGCAGGTCATCGACGCCCGATATGAGACGAACACAAACCAAGCTCCTTCCAGAAAGAATGCAGCAGGAGGAAACGGTTACTGGTGTTGAGTTTCTGTCTCTATCAGCACGATTTCTGACACATTTGAGTCAACATGACCTGGGGAAAATCTAAACGATGCACAGGAGCTTTGTGATATGCAGTGGCTGGGACGTTTACGGACTCTTGAGAACTGATTTGGAAAGTATCCAACCTCCCTGACACAGGAACAGAACGCCTCATCTCTACTGATATACTGCTGCGTTTCAGTCTGCAGCATCATCTTGTTTGCACAGCCTGGGCCTCCTCGTTGGCTGTCTGACCTGGAAACTGATCTTAGCAAAAATATTTTACAGGATGTATCGTTCCTTAGAGAGAAGGCCTGCGGGAGGAGTTACAAATGAGAAAACTAAAGCAGATTTAAGTCGTATACATTTTTGGTTGTTTAATTTCGTTGTCGCGCCACTGTCCAGCCCAACCCCGTGTCTCTCAAAGCCTAAAACTAACAAGCATCCTCGCTGAGTTACAAGTGAACAGACATCAGCGTGAAGACTCACAATCCATGCTGTGTGATCAGCCAACATCTGTCTGATGTCAACAGATTCTCCAACCTGAGCCGCTGTGTGTGTGTGTGTGTGTGTGTGTGTGTGTGTGTGTGTGTGTGTGTGTGTGTGTGTTTCTGCTTCATTGTAGTCACTCTGCTGTTTCATAAACATCTGGATTTGGACTGAACCTATTTTCTGCCACATCCACTCTGACAGTTCTCAGTGCACACCGCACAAACAGTTCAATGCCTGTAATTCAAATTGTTTCCTAGTTAAAACATGCATGATCGCCCTTTGTGACATTATAACAGTTTAAAGGGCGAAGCAGGTCCAGAAGTGCACATCCTCTGAGCTGCTAACACTCACCTTCTCCTTCCATTTTATCCGGACTCCTGCCCCACACTATCTGCCTGGTGTCCTGCCTGATCTGGAACGTCTTCCTCTCGGGCCTCTGGGACTTTTTCTGGTGGAAGATGGTCATCACTGTGCCCATCTCCAGGCTTTCGAGGATGCGGGGCCCGACCTCGGTCCAGTCCAGCATCCTGGAGGCCATGGCCGGAGCGACGGCACCGCAGGCGGCCTCCTCTGCGCAGCCATTGAGGCAGCCGCTGAACCTGGCTGCGCACATCCTCACTGCATAGCTGGGATCAGGATCACTGATCTGCTGAGGGAGGGGGGGGGGGGCTTTAATAATGAGCAGGATCCAGGTCCTTCAGCCAATGCACAGAGGAGCACCGCTATCTAGCATATCCAAACCCACTGGTGCCAGGAGGGAATCTGGGAATCTCAGGACAGCCAGCGTGATTACAACGACAATTTCTTAGGGAAAAAACAAGCTAGAAGACATCCCTCAGCAGCAGCCGCAGAGCTGACACGCCAAAATGTCTGAGATGTGAATTATGCTCTGGTCCTCCAGAGGGGGAGTGGATCCCTGTGTTATCCTTTCCAGATGCTTCTGGCAGCACACCAGTGAAATCCACTCAGGGTTAGTTCTCATCACCGCTGGGCTCAGGTTTCCACCCAGTCCGCGTTTTCCTTCTGGTCCTCCCGAGTCCTCGACAGCAGAGAAAGGAGCAGCGCAGTCCGGCTGTAAATCCTCCCTGGCACCGTCGCCGCCGCCTGTCGCCGCCGCTGGGGTGATAGACAGAAATGCCCCACTGCTGGGTTCAGGAGATCCGAGTCAGAACGAGGTGACAGAAACACAGACTTATGTAATGAAGCGTCTACAAACACGCCGAGGCGGGAGCAGCAGCTTGGAGTAACCGTGACTGGTTTAAAGTCCCCGGCTCCTCCTCGTCCGGGACTCGATCCTGCGTCTCCCTCAGCTCCAGCAGCAGAGGGCTGAAAGGAAACCGGGGCAGGCAGACCGGAAAGGCTCGATCAGATTTTTTTTTCTCCCTCCTTTTTGTTGCTGCTGGAAGGATCAGAGGGAGTATGGGGGGCGGCGGGAGTGGGGTGAAAGTAGATGGGAGGCAGAGAGGAGAGCGACCTCTGCAGGACAACAAGAGACCTGCAGCTGGGAGGCAGGGAGGATTTTCTCTCCCCTTAATGGGTCAAATCTCCTTAAACTCAGCAGGTCAAAAATGGTTCAAATAACAGAGGTTGGCTCACATGATTCCTGTATTTCACCTGGGAATACAGGATACATGTCCTAGATTAGATTTGTTGTCAGGATCCTGAAACATTTGACAGACATTATTTTTATATTTATAGATATATTGAAGTAAATCTGAACAACTCCCAACTTTTATGTAGGGGTTTTCAATAAATGTGAATTAATTCAGGTTAAAGCACAATCCTTGCACGTGGTTGTTGGCCATAAGGCCACCTTCTGCATATTTTATCTCAGTTTAGAAACTTCTTTTAAACCGTTTAACCATTATTTTTATAATTTCTGTTATCATTTAGTCAAATGTTATGCTGGTCTCAAAATGTGGGCTTGTATTATTTTTTTCGTTGCTCATCTATTCATTGCTCACTCTTTCTTTGTAAGTTGACCTATATGACTTATGAGTTATTCAGCTACAAAGTTGATAATCAGCTGAAGTGTAAAGAACTTTGTGTGGTCAGCATGACACAAAAAAGCACCATATAATTTCAGACCATTTACACATCTCTAAGAGTGACGATTATTAGTCTTATTTTTTTTTTTCCAATCTGATCTACAAAAATAATCCTTATATAATAAAACCTTTCATATTTGAAGTTAACTGGATTAGGTTACTCTTGTGTCCTCACTGTTCAGTTTACCTGTATTAGGACTTAAAGTTAATGTAATTACCATTAGAAGTAAATTAGAGGTTACCTTCCTCAAAATAACTGGATAAAGCAATGACTCACAGCAAGAACTGGAAATTTAAATTGTAAATTCCTGGCTAAAGCAGTGAGTTATGGATATATATATATATATATATATCCATTCAAAATTTGACATTTACACAATGCATTTTTGTCCCTCTACCACAATTAGTTTATGTCTATAAAGCCACTTTCTTCCATTACTGGTACTTAACTTTAAAATGGATATGTCACCCAGCATCTGCACAATTGTGAGAAGGCTGTAAAATAGCACACATGCGAAGTATGTGAGCGCCAACTGATCCACCTCAGGGGGACGAGTCGGTCATGGATGATATCACGTCCTCTCCATGTCTAATAGGCAACATATGTCCACTGGGTGTATCTGGGCTCGTACTGCTGCTGGACAAGAAGGCGACCAATCAGAATCGAAACAAACTTTCTGTTACAAAGAGGAAGCAGGGGGGTGGAGAACCTATGTTGGAGTTAAGAGAGATGATGAACCTCCAATCTTGGAAGCCTGATTCAAGGACACGTAAAATCGCCACCAAAAGAGTACAGTTCTCATTTTTAAAACACATTTCAAACAACAGTGTTTTTCTGCTGCCACTAGAGGGCAACAAAGTCCACAAACTGGAGGAAGGAGGGATGATTTGGGCAAAAGAGAAAACCTTTGAAGCTCCAACTGAATTTATTAGACAAAATAGAAACATGTTAAAATAAACAATACTGTCATCTCTACTTGACGTAAGCTTACAAACATGGTTTTAGAGTTTGGAGGTACTGATGCCAGACTTAATCAAAAGCCCCACATGGTCTTAATTTACATTCCTCAGCAGATTTAGATTCATGGAGCTTTCACTGAAAGAGCTCATACGTTTTGCTGTCTTGTGTCCTTCAGCTGAGCTTTTTGAGGACACAGTTGATCTAAAAAGTTGTACACCAAACTCGTATATTTGCAGGATCTTCATGAAAAATGTTTGGAAGCTTTCTCTAAAGATGTCACAAAAAAAAAACAAAAAAAAAAACTACATCTTTCTTCCTCTCACTTTCTAAGTTGATTCAGTTAGAAACAGGATTTGATGCAAACTCTGCAAAGAGATGGTTTATATGACGCATGAAGCTATTAATGATTAACATAAACAATACTGCGTTTAAACAACACCAGGTTGCATGGCAGGATGGCGCATGTAAGCTGCAAAACATTCCTCTGAGTCAAAACACTCCGTCAGAGTTCATCTTAATGTTTTTTTTTTAACCTTCTTTTCTATAAATTATCAGCTTTTACATTTGGGAAGGAAATATTTTCTCTTCCATTTCTAAAGCTGCAAGCACTACTTTACTTTCACTTGAAAAGAAACTTCTATGTTTACATAAGAATTTGAAGAAAAAATGGTGTTGGACAGGTACTAATATCCAATATTAACTTTGTTATGTAATATTATAATCTTAAATGCTGTGCTTTCATTAGCAGTACGTAGAAAAGTCGTCATAATTGACAAAAATATAAGGACTTGAAAAAAAACCAAACGTTTATTTAATGTTTTTTTTTCTTTCTTAACCTTGTGTATTTACTTAAAAAAAATAGTTTTCAATAATATTCAGACTTATGGAATATGACTTTACCCAAGGCCACGAACACACTTAAGGCTATAAGTCTTTAAATTAGACTCAGGCTAATTTCATATGTGCTCCTAAGCCGCCTGCTTGATCTTCTTTAAATTAACAGGTTCCCAGATTTTGCACCGGAGCAGGTGGGAAGTGACACGAACAAAATTAAACAACGAGCCAAACAAGACTGGTAGATGTGACAGATGCTCCATTTAGTTTACACGATCCTGTCAAAGTATTTAGAAACATTACAGCAGAAAGTCATGGATTTTATCAGCTCGGATTGCAGAAATGCTCCAGAGTATTTACACTCATGATGACCTATATTTCCTTTTACAAACACAGCGTGTTACATGTAACGTCATGTCTTGGGCCCATGCAGATCAATTCAGGACCACAAACGTTTTATACTAGAGTGAAAGTCAGGTGGTCCGGCTTTAATAATCAAAACAACGCTCCCACCAAAAACATGTGAACATTAAATCCTGCAATATGAGCATAACCCAAGTTACACCGCCCACTTTGCAATTACCAGATTTTTATAAAACATTCCAACAGCTAGAAAAAACCTATGTTGAGTAACATTTACTGAAGTGATTTGTTTATACCCACAAGCCCTGACCCCCCCTCACCCAGTGGTGCAAAAAGTGGGTATGCAGCGCATGCAACGCATAGGGGCGCTGCACCGGGGGGGGGTCAAATCCCCGTCTGGAGAGGGCAGCGTGCCGATGATGTCTTCGCATACATTTCAGCGCGCCCTCACGCTCCTTCACCTCGCGCACATAACGGGGTAAATGTAGCTAGTTTTACCTTTCACGTGTCTTCGTCTCAAGGAGGGGGAGGGGGGCAGAGCTAACGTATGTTTTTTACGCTCCTTCACCTAGACGTACCTTCCTGGAGGGGTATGGGGGGGCGCCGATTTATGTTTTCGCATCCACCTGAATAATATGTAGTTGTGACCCTGCCCTCACCCCCACCCCCTTTCCTACTCTGTTCATTGAGCTTGAGATAACCAGTGCTAGAGACCGAAGTCAACTTCAGCTTGTGCACATTTGACTGCGAGGCACTTTGGAAACAAACAAAAACATTCTTAGTTGGCTAACAGAAAGTTGCTGTCGCTGTTGCTGTCTTTTTGGAGCTCTGTAACCAAGTTGCGGAGTTTCTCTGAGAGCGCCACCTGGTGGGAAAGAAAACCATCTGCTTAATGTTCTTAGAATGAAGAAAGTCTAATGCAGTATTTTTTATTTGTCTGTTAAGTGAGACTGAGGACATCTAAGTAGGTTTGCATCAGATGCAGACCAGATTTAAACTCACTGTGTAAGAGTCAGGCTCCTGCAGCCTCTTATGTCGAGGGTGCAGGGTCTGCAGGGAGCTCTGGACCTTTGCTCTAGTTTCTGCAGCACTGCACAGAGGCTCTGTGACCTAGAAAAAATGGGAAACAGTTTAAGTAAGACAAAAAGTCCCTTCTCAGTCTAGATTTGTAAAAAAAAAAACAAAAAAAAAAACAGATCTTGTACTGATTAATAGTGTCCAGAAGATGGAAGACTGAATAACTTGAATATTAAGACAAGATGCTAGATGCCATGTCGGTTTTTGTATGATCTTTTAGTTAACAGTGTTAATGAAATGATAGTTATATCAACGTTCCTCAAGGAATGTCCTTTGTATATTATGACAAAAACTCAAACTTAAACTATACATCTTATAATTAAATAAAAAGCAACAAAAAACAAATTTAGATAATTAAATCTCATTGCTTACAAAAAAAAAAAACTGTTGTAATAACATATTGTTTGGTTTGCATATGCAGATGATTTTCTAGACCCAGGGTTGCACGATGGACAAAGAGGACAGGGTGCAGATTCAGAGGACACCTGAAACTTTTCATCTCTTTCTCAGTGCATGAACTGATTTTAAGAGTTTGGGAAAATAGTTTTAAAAGCTTGATGTAGAGACTAACCTGCCCTTCTAGGAAGACTTCCTTTCGCAGACAGGTCACCTGAGCTGGAGTGACTGAAACAGATGAGTTATCGCCTCCTAGAGGATAACAGGTCAATGTACACCCAGCCTTAGGAGGAGGTTCGACCATCAGACACAATAAGTCCAGGAAGCAATGACCTGCAGGGGGAAACAAACAGGAAGTCATGTTTGCAGCAACATCAAGAGCAGCACCTGGTTTCACAAAACAAAAACGGAGCTACACCAGGAGAGCAGGGTGAGTATGCTCACAGGTGAAAACATGCTGAATCTCACCATCAGCATCCAACAGTCGATAGACGGTTTTCCTCCCTGCAACAGTGCTTTTCTGTGGGTCCTCGCTGATCTTCATCCTTGGTCTTCCTCTCACCTCCACCAGCTTGGAGCACAAACATCACAACATAGAGCTCAACACGATGGACGTGGTTCAACATGTGGTCACCCCTGTTTGAGAAATTACCTTATAGACGCAGCCCAGAGACGGCTGCTTGGTGCAGGTCACCAGATGCGTTCCGACGCCAATCACATTGATCTCATTCTCCTGAAGCAAAATATAGACTTTGTTTTTTTTTTTCTTTTAAACTTTCAATAAAAGCTGATGTTAATAATAATGATACTTCAGTCACCTTCTTGTTGAGTTCAGCCATGCTTTCCTCTGAGATGTTGTTGGTCCCTACGATGATCAGAGAGTTAAATGTTGATACGGAGAACCTGCAGATGAGAGAGGCAATAGATTCTCCAAAACAGCCAAGCCAAACTTAAGAAAACCTGCACGCATATGCATCATGCACCTGACTCACTGCTCGCTGCAGAGTCGAAACACCCGACGGACTTCAATAGACTGCCTGCAGAGGTCTCCGCTGTCCAGGCGGACCCCCACAGGCTTGTAACCCAGTTCGCACAACGCCAAAGCCACGGCGCAGAAGTTCAACAGTCCACTACTACAACACATAAAGGAAATACTTGATTAACCAGGTCTCATTAAATATTCTCAGACACACAAACTGCCACTAGTGAACATCAATAAGAAAGGAGATGTTTTGGGTGGGTAATTAAGGAAGTCAGTAAGTAAGTAAGGTTCCTTTTGGTATCAATATTTTTTGCATTGAAAAATATCTTTATTGTGGAAATATTCAACGCTTGTTCCCAGTTGAGCAAACGTTTTCCATATTCTAGATTTTCCGCACAGTGTATAGGAACCCTGTTTGACCTGGGTTAATCAAATCCTCAAGGAAGTGACCACTGTAGGTCTTAGGTAAGTTTTTTGACTCTGTGGAGTGAGAGTGAGGGGCTGAGGGAGCGGATGACATCAAATCATCCAGTAACTCCAAAACAACAGAATAAAACCCCAGATAAGAGTGTCAGGAGTTACCATCCCACGCTGTAGCTGTCAATCACAGGCAGGAAGTTCTGAGGGTAGGCGATGGCATAGGAGACGAAAGCTGCCAGCTCGCCCTCACGGATTTTCCCAGGCTCCGCTCCCATCAGCTCACAGACTCTCCTCAACCAGCCTTTAGTCAGAGAAATGATGTCGACTGGATTGGGGTCTCCGTTTGCTGTCACCAGTGTCTGAGTGGGAACAAATACGGCAAGTTCACAAAACAGTCAGGGCTAAATCAGACCTCAGGATACCAACTTTCATTTTAAAATGACTGTTTGGACAATCAGTCCTGACACTTTAAAGCTAAAAACTGCTAACATGAGGCCACTGAGATGGTGTTACCTGTGGCCAAACCTCCTCCAAGGAGTTGAAGGAAGTGACGTAAGAGTGTGCTATTGTCCCCGCAACAGGAATCCCAAACAGAAAACCAGCCTGAACGTTACTGGTGAGATCAAACCCTGGAAGACAGATTGCTGGTGAGCCTCTGAAGGTGTTGGTTTTGGAAGGACCAGGCTTGTCCACTCACCTCCGATATGTGTGTATCGCGAGGCGGTCAGCCCTCCGTCTGGCCCCTGTGCCCGTCGGAGGCCCATCTCCAGCAGCCTCCTCTGGTGTCCGGCCGCCAGGCGGAAACGAGCTGCGTTACTGCAGACCAGACTGAGAGGAGGAAAAAAAACAGAACATGGGAGACTGAAATCAGGGCAAATTCAAGGAAATTAAACAGGAAGCAGAGGCTAAATTATCATGTGCATAAACTATTTTGGCAGAAAAATAAAAAAAGTTAGACCTTCGTTTGCATGTGTAAGCTAAAAAATGTGTTATTCCTGCTTACTTCCTGCTTAATGATGGGATTCATAAAATAGATTGCAACAAATATTATGTTAAGATACTGAAGCAACATTTGAAGTCATCAGAGAGGAAGATTAAGCTTTTGAATCAACAATCATCCTAATAGCTCACTTCCACTGAGCAGTACAAAACAGGTCAGTTCAATCAAATATTTGATCTGGCTAGGCTAGATGATTTTAGATGCAAATAAAAGCAGTTCCTTTATCCGCCAACCCAAATCTGAAGCTTTTACCTCGCGTAATTGACCAGACACAGTAAACTGGTCTCCAGCAGCTGAACCACAGCTAGCGGACCCTCCACCTCCATTAGAGGCACCTGTAAGTGTGAGAAACCTGTCAGTTTGTTAGATTTCCTCCACCGTGACTGCAGCAGTTACAGGGCAGAAACTCACCCTGGCGAACACCACAGAACCCTCCGGGAGGGAGCGTATCGTCACGGCCGAACAGTCGAGGCCTCGCAGGAAGTCGAAAAAGGCAGGGTCGGTGTTGGGAGGCAGGACGGAGCGCAGGAACTGCACATCTGTATCCACAAAGACAGCTGGAGCTTGACCATGACCCTTTTTATTAGGAGTCATGTGCTCTAGTACGCAACATGGATGACCCGTAAGGTCATAGAACTGAATCTAATGAGCAGCTAATCCAAATCAGCAGACATCAGCGGTGTGACTTGAATCAACCTGTCAGCAGCTGTAGTAAAACTATTTTTGAAAAATGTTCATCCCCTTTGATTGTTTTCACACAAGCATAAACTTCATTGCATTTAATTAGGATCTGATGTAATACATCAACACAACACAGTGGATGCATCATATTGCAAAGTCAAATTTCTTTTGACACATATATTTTTTATAACAGCTGAAGGTAACAGTTACTTCATATGCTATATCATGGTACCGTGTCTGGAAAATACATAACAGCACCCCTTTAAAACAAGCTAAAACCCACTTGTTTAGAGTTGTTCTTCCAACTTTTCATTTTTTCTTTATTTTGCCACTAAAATGCATTTTTGTTGTTTAATAATCGTGCAAAATACTTTGAATGGTCTCGTTAAAATGAGCTTTACAAATTAGCATATTACAGTTTAAGACATTTTCTAAAAGCCTCCATTAGTAGATTTCATGCGCGCAGTATATAATCTGTCTCCATCCGTTGTTTGTGTCCTGTTTCTTCATGAGGGCCTCTTAATCTGTGCAACACACACAGCAGTCTGTAGATTCTTCTTGGTGTTCGTGTTAAAGGGCAGAACTAAAGGTCAAAATCTGCAGAAATGCTGCACTGGAGCTCACGTTTTCTCACGCTGGGTGAATTGCACAACCAACTCGGTGTGTGTTAACAGAGTGTAAAAGTCCCACTTCCTGATCCGTAACCATAATGTAGCTGGCTCGGTGGGGTTTTTAAGGATTATGATGACAAGCGCGACGGCAACTCTAGAAGGTAAAAGGCTGAACCCTCACCTTGATCTGTGAGGCGAAAGCTCCGCAGGAACAGCAGGCAGTCATTCAGCCCAGCGAACAGCGAGAAGCCGCCGCCGAACGGGTTGTCCCTGAAGAACATCTCGAACACGGCGGGCTCCTGGTGCCGGCCGGCCCGCCAGTACGCGTAGGCCATGGTGAACTGGTACAGGTCGGTGAGCAGAGGCGGGACCCGCTCCCGGACCGAGCGCTCCATGAGCCCGCATGCGTCTGTGGACGGAGCTGCCATGTTCCCCGGACTGAGAGGATCCTCGTCTCTGATGCTGCTGGGACTTGCAGTTCCACAAACATCCACATGAGTCCAGCACCGACTGTGGTGAGGAACAGTTCTCCCTGTAAAAATACCGGATGCTGCACAGCTTGTTATTTATTTTGGCATCAAATTTATCAAATTTGATGCCAAAATAAATAAATTCTGATATCACTCAAAAATATCTTTAATTATTATCTTTGTCATTTTTTGATCTACTGCTTCCTGAAGGTCTTCCAGTTATTTTTTTTCTTTTTTTGTTGTTCCTTGGTGTAGCTAACAATGGCTTATGAATCCTTCAAACATGAAACATTTCTAAATCCCAAAGACATTTTCAACACATTCTATTAAAAATAACCAGTTTTATATATTCAGTTCTTTGGGCTCTCAGGAACCAGCAGTCTGTTAAAGACATAAAGCAGTTCAAAAGATAACAGTTTAAAGACCCACAGATGAAAACTTCCAGTAGATAATATACTAAACTATCCATATCTTAGGTGCTGGATTAGGATATTATTTTCTATTCACATAATCTTTGTTAGTTTTGTTTAGTTGTGAGCCTGGCTAACTGTGATACTACACCTGAACATAAAGCAATGATAAAGTCAGTCACAAGTAACCTTTACATTCCTGACCTTTTTTTTTCTCTTTCATTTCCATCATTGCAATGACTATTAGTTTTTTCATCTCAGCTACTACATTTAGCATCACGTTCTGCAAGCATCTGGAAAGATGGACAATTGGCATGTAGACTGAATGCAAGATATTTGAAGTATAACATCCAACATACCACTGCATCAAAGCTACCCACTGCAAACACTAATACAGTGTTCTGCAACTTCTGGATGTGTCCAAAGTCCAACACACTCGAATCAGATGACTGAAACATCTTCTAATCCATTCATGTTTTGTAGACTCATGCTAATGACGGTGTGTTGACACAAGGAAACATCAAGAAGTTGCAGGACACCAGGCTCTCGAGGACCGGAGTTTTGCACCTATGTTCTAAGGTCAGCGAATTTCTACAAAGATGGAGATTGATTTGCGCTGATGTTATACGTTTACATTTCTGTAAAGAATCTGTGGCAGCTACATTTCAGGGAGGTGGACCTTGTCCTCAAATACATAAGAAAATCCCACCTGCTTGATTTGAACAAACACTTCAAAATCCACCCCCTCTGGGGTTTTTTCTACAGCTTTACAGAAGTCTTACAAGATTTTTAGAAGAGGTAAAGGATTTTTCAAATGAATGCATCTGGCAACAAATTTATTGTCCCAGTCTTTCACCAACATGGCCATATTTTGTTCAAATAAGTTATTAAATGTAACAGTAATTAATATACTACTTGAATCTTCTTTTGTTATACTCTAGTCTACACTTCAGTTCACTTCTTGTTTGGCGACCTTTGCGACATTAAGCAGTAATTTTGTTGCGTTACAACAATGTGAGGACATAAAATAAGCAAGATAAAAGAGAATATACAACCTCCATTTTTTTCTAATTTTCACATGGCGATTGTTATTGATTAAAACCAAACTCGAAGCAGAACGATGCAACACGAGATGCAATCTCATCAGACTGTACTGTTCTCTCACATGAACACATAGAGTTGAACTACAGCAGCAGTTTTTTAACTTGCCAGAGACAAAAACTGATACTTTAGATTTTATAAACTGTTCTGAAGATCATCTCAGATTCCCCTGCTGTCCACTGCCATCCTCTACTGCTGGGAAGCATCCTGCCAGCTCATTGGTCAGTCTGTGCTCCTGTCCTTTCCACAGAAAGTGTGTGGGCTGTCCAGACTGGCCACTCTCTGGTGGATAAACAAAGCTCGGACTCAGCTCTATGGCCAGGGACGACCTGACCAGTCCGACCCCGCCCGAGCGCTCTAGTCCAGGATGATAAACCCGACCGCTGACTGGATGCATGTACAGCGCCTCTGGTTGGAAAGGAACAGAGAGCTTCTCTGCGCCACCACAATACGAGAGCAGCTCCTGGTCTCCTGCTGGGTTCGGCAGCAGGTGGGTGAAAACCACCGGCCTGTCGTCGCAGCGCAGGAAGTTCCTCTCTCTACCGCACAGAGACAGGAATGGAAAATCCTCCTCGTAACGCCCGCTCTGATTTATCCGCAGGCGACTGAAGAAGAAAACCAAGAACTGTTTATCTGGAAAAATGAGACAAATGCATCAGATGCTAAAACTTTGAACAAAAATGGTATTTAAAGCTGTAGCAGAGAGCTTAGTGTTAAACTGTGCTTAAAATAATAAATAAATAAAATAAAATTGCACTAAAAGATTATCTTCAGAAATACTTCATGGAGACCGGTTCAAAGGGTGCTGGTTGTTGGACGTTTTGCTGTCTTCCACCATTTCTGAGAAAAATGAGCTGCCTGAGAAGCCTCCACATTTAAACCTGATGCCATCTCATATACATATTCATGTTTTCTTTTTTGATAGACAATTATCTAATAGGGTCATATTGTATTGACTGGGTTTATATGGTCTACCTCTAGGGGGCAGTAATCTTCAAGATAAATCACTCAAAACTGATTCAGCAAACCTGATACTGCAGACCAAGTATTAAGATTTTATTAATTCACAATCCAAATTTAGATCTCCCAGTTGTGTATTGTCTGATTGCTCTTAACTCTGACATTACATGTGTTCTGTTATCTGCTACTGGGACTGCACAAGGCTGTAATCTGGTGCACCAAATATGTATTCTTTGAGATTAAGGTTTTCTGTAAAGGATTCTATATAAATAATAAAAAAATAAATTCGTAAAAGTAAATTCGAGTAGACCAGGGCAAAATGGTGCCCCAGGACCATTTTGCAAAACATTAAATGGCAAATAAACTGTTCCATTTATTCAGATTAACTGTCACTGGCTGCAAACTGTAGAGTTTTGAGTCTGAACATAATGTTTATGTTTCACATTAATGAACATATAATATTGATGATACGCACGCTGAATAAGTGCCATTTGTGATAGACTTAAACACACACATACACTTCTTACTCTGGAAAAACGACTAAAGCGTCGCTGCATTAATATATTTACCTTTATTTTAAATAAAACAGATTCCCAAACAAAAACAAAAAAACAACATATTTAAACATCACTTTCTCAGGAGACAAAATAAAACATCCAGTCATATTAATGGAGCACTGAGTGATACTAGTAAACACTCCAAATATTTCTACAATTGAGACTTAAATAAGAAACTCTAACCTTTAAAGCAGGTGACAAAGTTCTTCACTTTAGTGTCATCGAGAAAAAGCTGCAAACGTCACAGAAAACATAGTGAACAACTGGAATACAGTTTGTTTGAAACGTTTTATTTCTGGCTTAGACAGATGCTCACCTGTCCTTGATGGTCAATGTAGTAAAAATACTCCCTGATGCGGGGTTCGGGACTCTGGCCCTGGATGTATGAAGCGCTGTTTCTGGAAATAATGAAGCCGCCAGGCGGACAACGAAGATCGGTCAGAGTTCTGCAGCTTCGAGCCGCTAACCGAAGGAATGACATGACCGGTTTGACAGGCTTCAAATGTCCTGGGTTAAAAAGCAGACAATATAAGGCACAGCATTCAAATGACGACTGGTTTGTTTTTGTCTTCAGGGAAGGTTATGACACTAAACTTGTGTCCTCATGGTTTTGTTTGTAAGAGTTCAAGTACCGTCCGACCGGAAGTGCTCATATTTTGAGTCGCTGCCCCCTGCTGGAGAAAATGCTTTATAGATTTCAGTAATACAAGCTGCCCTCTACTGGAAGGAGTGTTTATTACAGTCAAAATCCGCGGATAATAGGTCATAAGTAGTATAAACAAAATGAAATGGTGTTAAATATATAATATGATAAATGCTTGTTTTTTGTTGTCCTAAATTGAATCAAACACCAAGATTATTTAAATCAAACTATTAAAATGTTTAGACAAACCGTTATCTTCAGTGTTTAGTTTATTTTGAAGAGGTGTTTTTTTCCCAGTTATTTTTAAGTTTGTATTTTTTCCTTGTTGGATGATTTGTGAATCCCAGCAGTACAGGCTGTACAGAACCTAAATATATCCACCAGAGCTTTTTAGGTTTTTAAAAAGATTTTCTACATTTAGCCTTATCATATTTTCTTGACTCTTGTATTACCCATAAAACTTTGGATGTCCTTTAAATGTAAACTTTGATGTAGAGGAGATTATGTTGGGGGACATATTTACCAGGAGTTAGCCTTGGTTCCCTAGTCCCACTTAAAAGAACTTTTGTTTTAGCACTCCAAGACATTTTGGTTACTTGAATGCACCAACATTCCGAGGACAGCTTAAGGATGGCCTCTTGATATTCAAAGAAGACTGAACACAAACAAAAGCAAATTTTGCTTCAATACTTTTACATAAACTGGGAAAGTGAGGGAAAGGAAACCCATCATCTATGCCTGCCAATGAAACAGGATTAAAATTATTTTGCTCCCAACATGCTAATGAGAATAAATCTGAAAGCTATGTACACTTGCAATACATTACAATCACCATTATTTCAGTTGACAGCAGAGTGTCACAAGAAGCTGTTTGAGTAAGCTAATATAGTGCAAGTTCACACTGCATGCAGTCCCACTGTTCTGGAAATTTTAAATTACCAATTTAAGCAGGATATGGTAATCATTTTGAGTAGCAAATACACATAGGAATTAATCAGATGGAGAAATGTAAATATATAAGCAGATTTGTGCTAGCTTTGAAGTTGATTGCTGGCAGCTTCACAGTCACCTTCTGCATATGGCTTGGGGGTCATCACACTCAAACTCTGGTCTAAACAGGCAAGATAAAACCACATGCAAAAGTCAAGTTCAGAATTTAAGGTGAAATATGTCAAAAGTCACTCATCCACCATAGCATTACTAAAGCAAACTGATCAGCTCAATCCTTATGCCTTTTGTGATGTCACCAACCAAAATTTAGAGCATAATTAGGTGTTCCATGCACTTTTTAAACTTCGTATTTTGTGAAATTCAGTAGTTGAACTCCATAATGCGTTTTCATTTTCAGTCTACACTGACAAATGAAAAATAAATAAATACACCAGTGTATAGTATCTTTAAGAAAACTACGACGTGGTGTGAAAAAGCAGAGGAGGGCTCTTTAGGGAGATTTCAATCACATAAACAACAAGATGGCTGAGACTCTGAGAGACAGTGCTGCTGCTGTTGAAAGGTCAACTCCTCCAGAGGCTTCTTTTGGCTTCACAACAAGGACTGACAGCACCGAACAAAGCGGCTGATTCATTAAATGTTCAGAACTTCATCCGGAAGGCTCTTGGTCTGTGCTGAAGCTCCAGCTGAAACCGACCTGACCTGATCACCTGCAGACCTTCCTCTTCCTCCTCCTCTTCCAGGTTAGGGTGGAGCTGTCTCTACGTGAAACTCTGACAACACAGTAGGTGTCAGAAATAATAGAAAAGTTGGATTAAAAACGGCATCTGTCAACCTCACAGTAAGTTAAAATTCAATAAATCAAAGTTGGTCCGAACTATTCGCTAAACTTTTGAAGCTAACGCCAAAAAATATCTGATAATGTAAACAAACGTAAAACGCTACTAAATTTTAGAAATCAAAAGTGTGTTTAGTTTACGACTACGAGATTAGTTTCGGGTGTTTAAAGTAGTCACTGGTTTTAACTATATCGTCTCTTAAATAGTTACACTATCTACCTTGTAACGTTTAAACCTGACACTGAAGTTAGCTTCCGATTCGGTGCTACTCCTGTACTTTCAGGTTAAACTCTGTTTTTACTCTCGGTATTAGACTAAAGGCTCGACAAATCACAAACTGTGCTCTTATTGTTGTTACATAAGTGCATAAATATTCAGTCTATGTTTGACTAGTCACATTTTGAAATTAACTGCATCTCAGATAATGCTTGAAAAACATTGATATTGTTTTTATTTTAAAAAAAAGAAAAATTAAATCCCTTAAAAAAAAAAAAAAAAAATATATATATATATATATATATATATATATATATTATTTTATCAGGACCTTGTCTAAAGTGGTTTTAATGTCCAAATTAAGTGTTACCATTTCTCTTTTTAAAAATGACAAATAAATGAAAGGCTTCTGGCCAAACTGACTGTGATGATATTCTGTATGCACGCAAAATAAGTTAATTGTCAAAAACTTGAAAGTTGCATTTTGCAGTTTATTTATCCTGTTTGAGAAAACAAAAATCAACTTTCTAGGGTTTCCCATAGCTTTTCCCACTCTTGTTAAAAAAAAAAAAGCCAAAGGCCCACCCCAGTTGGTGTTGACCCCATACTTGTAGAAATTGTTCCACAATTCTGCTTGACTGACTTATAAAAGCAAACAAACTAATAATTCTAATGAAACCATGTAAGTAAGTAAAAAATATATGGTAACCCAAAAACAAAATTTACCAAACTAAATAGCCCCGAGTTTAATTTGTCTTCCTAAATTATCATGAGTGAGTGAGTTTTGGATGGCTAGAGATGGGTGAGTCCTGATGAGACCGTGCTCGAATAAACGGGCAAAGAAGATGGATGGATGTTTTCACAAAGCAGAACATATGTGACACATTTCGTTTTTGTTGTTGTTGTTGTTGTTATTTGTATTTTTACTAACAGAACTTTGTGGATTTACAAAACACAAAGTACATTTTAAAGATTAAATTGGTCTTCAATAATTTAGTCCAGATGGTGACCAGTCTTAAGTTCCAACGTTTTTCAACAAGACCCAATATAAAGTCGTCCTAATGCTTATAACTAAAGTAAAATATTCACATATTTGTTATAGGATCTATAAACAGGTCGAATAATTCAGTCAAGGTCAGATCATTCTAAGTATTTTGCATTTTGAAGTAAATCTGTTCAAAACTCGTGAAGATTCTTTAAAATAGGGGGAATATTCCTTTTGTAGTCCCAATCACGAGCTACGAATCAGATGCGAGCTTCAGCGTGGTTTACCTCAACCTTGAGTTATTTCCGTCAACGGCGGAGGAAGTTTTTGAATTTAAATGATTAAAAAACAAAGACAATTTTCTAAAGCGCATTTAACATAAAAATGTTACTTTTACATGTATGCAGAGTAATTTTCTTGTCATTTAAAGGTCATTTATGTGTAATTTACTCTCGACAGGTATGAAACAACCGCCCCATTCCAACCGGGGACACCGGGAGAGGAACGGAGAGCAGAGGCGGCCCCGGGAAAACAGGCAGTCCACTCCGGACAGGTGGGACAGTAGCACTGCTATGAACAATGGAGGTTGTCCCTCTCTCTGGGCTTGGTTTTTAACAACTCTTGCCTTTATGAGACCTTATGAAGTAAACATTTTTTGTAACTTTTTGGATGACTGAAATTCACGTTTACATTTTTGGGTCAAATCTTTAAAGAGACAGTTATCCCTGATACTGACCAAATGTACTTTTGAATTCGGGAAAAGTTACCAAAAATTTTCTAAAAAAAAAAAGTTCTTTCTTGCCAGGTTTTCTGGCACTTAGCAAATAGAGATAATTTTTGGAATTCTAACTAAGCTAAACCAAGAAACGTTAGGTCTGATTTAACTTCAGACAGTAATAAAAAGTGTCTTTTTATTTAGTCTGTTTAAATATCTGGTTTCAACTGTATGTTGAAGTAATCACGTCCTTAATTTCAACTGATCAAAACTGTGTTTGACCATTTGTGCTTTGTTTGCCCATTATTACACGGGTCCTATAGGGCTGCATGATATTAAAAATAACCTTACAAGTTTTTTTTTTTGTTTTTTTTTTTTTCTATTACCTTTATTTAATGGCTTTCTTGAATAGTAATTTAAGAATGGCTATTTCTTAAATGCCATAGTCTACAGAATGTGAAGCTTAATCAGCAACAAGTTGTATAATGCAATAACACTGATTTATCTAATTTTAAACATCCAAGTGAAATGAATCCTACAGCCACACTAGCAGAAAAACTGATTAAATTACCTTTAATTTTACAGTGTCTTTACTGTATGGTGTGAAGTAATTTCTCTTAGGGTTCTGAATGAGCTACTAGCATCACTCAAATTGTATTTTTATTTTACTTTAGTTTAAAAAAGCAGTGAAATAATTTTTATCAGATGGCCTTATAGTTTTAGATTGTTGCAACAGTTGTAGTATGTTGGTAATGTTTTTCAGGAAAACATGTCTTATTTGTCAAACAATAGTGGGTTTTATTTTTTAGCAAATGACAGAAATTATATTAATGTTTTGCTCAGCAAAAAAATATATTGAATATTTAACCTGACTTCACATAGTCTAGACAGAAGATTATTACGTCCTTACAGGTTTTACTTCAGTAAAGAGGATCTGTCTAAAAGAATAGTGTCATGTTTAATTTGCTACGATCTTCTAACCTGACGACATATTAGCTTGTGCTATTAATCTGACATTTATGTTTGATATGCATTGTCCCTTTTAAAGTGTATTGCTATTACTGTCTTGATCAGAATTATATGGCGTTCTCAACGGATTAAAACAAGAAAAAATACTTGTATTCACCTTGTCAAACTGTAATTAGTATTTTATATGTGTTCCAGCTCTTATACTGCCCCCCATAACAGCCCCCCAGAATCCGAGCCCCCTTCCAGGTATTCGAGGGACGCTCCCCGGGTGGAGCACCGGGACTCCAAATGTACCAACATCTGTTCCCGGAGAGGTATGCAGACTCTCAGAAGAAATATGTGGGTCAAATAAACCGAAAGCTGCTCTCAAGGCAGCTGCAGCGTAAGAGTGCGGACTTTGGTTTCATCAAGCTTCATTATTTCCTCCTGTGAAAACCGGTCCGACCGGTTTGCTGCTGCGCTCTGTTCTCAGAGTTTCAGCAGACAAAGGTTGTTGCTGATTCTGGGAAGAAGCCAAGCTACTCTGAGACTTGGAGAGTTTTTTTTTTTTTCCCCCTAACCAATTTACAATGCTGAGAGTTGTTTTTAGTTTAGTTTTTCTTTGTTATGAAACTAATTGTATTAACAAAATACAATAATAAACACAAGTTACTTTTCAAGTTACAACTTTGTGAAGTCAGAACAAGTATCCAGACTAACTTGGATACTCTTAAACCTAAGAAGTGGTTGTACAGACCTTAGCAGTAACAAGCATATTAGGAAATTTTGCCCCATTTTTCTTTGCCTAGCTGTTCTAATTCAACCACATTGGCATATTTCCAGCCTGTTTGAAGTCATGTCATAGTTTTTTATTCAACTCTAAGCCCAGACTTTGACAAGGCCACTCTAATGTAGCCATCCAGAGTTGGATCTCCAAGTTTCTTTATACTTAATTGTTTTTACTTTAACGATGGAACCAATTTCCCCTCATCTTTCTTGTCCTGGCCAGGCATCGTGCTGATCTGCTCCGTCCTAACCAACGCCCTCGTCCTGATCTGCGTGGTCGCGGCCCAGATGGTGATGTCAGGCTTGTCGTCGATGGGCGGCATGGGCGGCATCAGCATCGACAGCAGCTTCAACTTACAGGGCACCGAGCTGCAGGAGGTGCGACGACTGGACATGGAGTACAGCCAGATGAGGGCGCCCGGTATCTACGGCGGCATCGCCTTCAGCCTGACCTTCGGGGTCGTCTCACTGGTGTTTGTGGTCGCCGGGAACAAACCCGCCTACTACATGAATCAGAAGCTGCTGGTGGGGGCGTTGGCTTTCCAGGCAGTGGGTGCCGTGGGCTACGTGGTCGCTGTGGGCCTCTACCTGCACTTTGTCATCCAGGTCAACTCCACGGAGACGTGCAAGCGGCGAGAGATTATATACTCGCGGAACGGCTACACCTGGATGAACTGCAACGTGAGCGGGGGTGACGCAGCCGTGGCGCTGTTCGGGCTGATCACCGCCATCCTGTACACCGCCGGGACCGTGCTCACGGTCCAGACAATCAGGGGAGTGAAGCGCTACCAACGGGAGAAGAAGAGGCGACATGCGGAGAAACAGGAGGGCCAGGGGAACCACCGCAGGGCCCCGCTGAGGGCAGACACAACGTCGGTGTGAGGCTGAAGGTGTTCAACCAGCTGGGTTCAGATCGGAGCCAATCCGGAGAGGAGGACCAGTTTATAACGAGAGCTTAAACTGATCACCAAAAATGACTCCCGACATGGATGTGTTCACAGTAAGATGACATAGTTCATCATCCGGCAGAAACCGATGAGTCACACATTACTGACATTCAACCCAACACTGATCATAGTTGCAGTCGACTCCTTTTTCTGATCAAGAAATCCAGTCGTTCAGGACAAGTGTCTAATTTTAAGATTATTAACACCATCAGAGTTTTCAGCTTATTTGACTTCATAGAATCAGCTGCAGAATGACTTCCTGTTTTTTCTACCAATCACAGTAAAGGAAGTATGGATGTAATGTAAACTCTCAGAGCCATGTGATTTACAACAAATACAAAGAACAAGCAGGAATCAGTCGTGAAGCAAAATGGGACATTTACTTAAACTGCTTGTTTTTCACCTGTTGCCACTTTTAACTTTCAGATTCTTTATTAAACTCAGGAAATAATGTAGATAAGTTTTTATATTCTGTAAATACCTCTAGTAATTGTAAATCATGTTTCTTATTTTGTTTCTCAGTGCTTGAAATTCTTGCAGTTGTGGTGTTTGACATTTTTTTTATCACTTTAACCAGATAATGAGCTTAAGGATCACTGGACTTGTTTTTAATGTGATGGCAGTTATACAATTTGTTTTTACATCACAGATTTATTCTTTTGTGTTTCTGTAAACTAAAACCATCAGGTGACATTAAAATTGACTTGATTTAAAGACTTGTGATGTTTGCTGTAATCCTTGCTCCTGCAGGGTGCGTCATGACTACCACAAACAGGACAGTGAAGCAACTGTTTAAAGGCTCGATTACCAACAAAACAAACTCCCACTTCAGAGGATTTTTAGAAAACAGAGCAGCAATTGTCACAGCAGAGAAAATGCCAGATATTGTGTTTTGCAGAAGTATTCACACCTCTTAAATTTAACATTTTCTCATGTTATAGCCACAAACTTGACATATTTTGCATGACAAACCAACTCAAATTAGTCAATAATGAAGTGGATGGAAATGTTTTTAAAGTCAATCTACAAATAAAAATCTGAAAATTGCCACACGAACATGGATCAACCACGTCACCTTATTGAGTTCAGGTTTTAGAAGTTGTTTTTAGTTGTGTGCAGCCACAAGAAAGAAATTATTTAAAAGCTTCCGTTTGTCCTGTTTACATTTGTGCCACGAGACAGAGAACACCAAACCTGTGGAAGAAGTGTCCGGTTAGAAAAGGACAGAACTGGACTTTTTGGCTTGCATGCCAAATGTTTGTGTAGGAAAACCAACAGCCTCTCTTCTGCTGGGAAGATGTGCAAACCCATACATGCTATAAATAGCAACAAAAAGGTGGCTGTGTGCAAAAGGTATGCTGCACTTAAGACTTTTCTTTTTTGCAGAAAATCTCAACTATACCCTATTTTTGCTTCACAAATATGCAACAACTTTGTTGATCTGCCACATAAAATCTAAACAAAATGCCATGATGTTTGTGGTTGTAACGTGACCAAATACGGAAAAGTGTTGCTGGTTCTTGTGAAATTCTTCAGGTCATTGTTGAAACTAAAAATTGCTGGAGGATTTAACTTCAGAGAAAGAAGGCACAAAGTAAACATGTTGCAGTTATCTGAAAACTTTATTGTTTAGCAAAAGTAGGTCTCTTGTTGTGCTGTTTGCTGCAATGATGCTCTGAGCCGTTAGTAACTAGAAACGTTGCAGCGCCGCCTACAGAACATGGACCTGGAACGTCGTCAGCCTTCAGGAATAATCATCTTTTCTCTCAGAGAATATTAGTTAAGCCTCAGTGACTAAATAAAGTATTAAACTCCTAGGAGTTAGTTAAACAGTTCCTAACTCCGACACCTGTAAGGCCATGAGCTGCGATCCGAACGCTGGTCCGGTTCTTAAAGTACCGTTTAATGTAGAACTGATCTGAAAAGCTACTACAACACAAAGTGCTTCTTCATATCATAGATATGGTAATAATCATTTACATGTGAAGATTTAAATCAACATAAAGTTACAAAAATTGCATCGTGTTTCAGGGTTTGTTAACAGTACAAAATAAAGTGGGTCAGGAAACCTCAAAAAGAGTTTCTGGTCCAAATTGAACTCTGAGTCCACTAAATCAGAGACTCCTCCCTCAGTGATGCTGGATGATGACGACGATGATGATGATAATGATGATGATGATGGTGGTGGTGGTGGTGGTGGTGGTGATGATGATTCGGACAGCAGCAGTCAGAGTGGTGTGACAAAATAGTCTGCAGGTCTCTGATAGGTGTGTGTCTGCATCTGTTCCTGCTGCTGCTGGATGATCTGCCGGACCTCCTCCTCGAGCTCCGGTGGGATGATCAGCTGGTCGTCTGGGTCGGGCTGGGCGGGGGCATTGAAGTAGCCTCCCTGTTTCCTGATGGGGGCGTCTGCCGCTTCCTCAATCAGATCCTGGCTGCGGCCCTGGCAGGCGACGGAGCCGTTGGCCCGCGCCCGGCGGCCCAGCGTGGCTGAGCGAGCCTCCTGGTTCGGGGAGGGCGGAGGGACAGGTGATGGAGACGGGGATGCGAGGTTGGGTGGTAAGAGTTCGTTACCGGGGGCGACAGGTTTGTATGTGCTTGTGGTGTTGGAGTGAGTGGAGCCGTGCTGGAGCAGGCAGTGGACATCCGCCTCCACCTCCACCCGGCTGCCGTTGGAGAACACGCCAGCGATGGGCTCCTCGTCCTCACTGTCCAGTCCGTTGTCCGACAGCGCCCCGGAGAACTGCCTCTGGAAGCCGCCGGCCCCAGCAGCAGGTCGCCGTGCACCGATCCGGCCCTGAGCGTTCAGATGGGAGCTCAGCGGCTCCGTGGGCGGTGCCGGTGGCTCCTCGGAGGACGCTGTGGACCCCACCTCGCTGCTCATCTCAGAGGTGCTGAACTCGCTGCTCAACTCGCTCACGGTTCCAGAGGAGGTGGGCGGCAATGGAATCCCCCCGTCGCTGCCGGAGAAGGGATGCAGAGCGGGCTGGGCGGCGGGCCCAGGGCTGGGCGGCGGAGGGGGCGGCTCGCAGAAGCAGCAGCAGTCCTCGGTGATGTTGAGCTGGACGACGACGGCGCTGAGGCTGTCGGAGCAGCCGTAGCTCTGGGCCAGCGTCGCCAGCTTCTTAGCCGCGGCGAGAGCGTCTGGAACGTTCCGCACGGCCTCGATCGCCTCGTTGGGAGACAACAAGTCCCACAATCCTCGGCTGCCCAGGAGGAAGAACTCATCCTGAGGAGTGAGAGTCACCGTGGAGACGTGTGGGCGGGGCGTCACAGAGGGACTGAGGAAGGAGTATCCCATCATCCTGGTAGAGTCGGTCACACCACTGACCTTGTTATCCTGCAGAGACGGAAACAGACATGATTAAAACTCAGCGTCTGATCACACGTAATAAGAATAATAATTATTATTGTAAACTATGTTTAATGTACTAAATAAGGACTCGATGTTTGAGCAGTGGAAGAAAAATGACTTGAATGGAAGCAAAATGATGGAGTTGAGCTGATTTAACCTGGAAAACTTGAACTCTATAAATACTGTATATTCAGAAACATTTTAATTATTTTGAATATTTTTTTAGACATTTCCAATAATGAAGTAGTTTAGGAAACCAAGTTTCAAAAGTTCACAAATAATTATGTCCCCCCCCCCCTATACTTAACAGTCATTTGGTTTACAACAAAACGCTATGAGCTTTGATTTTGAAAGTCTACAGGGACATCCTTAAATGAGAGATGGTAACTTCCACCTGTCTGTTTAATCTCTGACTGTACCAAAAAGATTCAGTCTTAAGATTAGGGGCTAAATAATGTAATTCAGCATCCATACAGAGATTTACATCACTTTTAGATTTGGAAAAACTATAAACTACCTTAGATTTCAACCAAGAGTTGAAGAACAAATCATGGATGCTTTCCTCGTTACCTCTGTGATGACGGCATTGTGCTGCCGGACCCTCTCGTACTCCGTCTCCTCTCGGACGGTGTGGACATTGGACAGCAGCAGCGCTCTCCCTCCTCGGCACAGCACGGCCTGGCAGCGGCCCACGTTGGCCGCCTTCAGGGTGAAGCAGCTGCCAGGCTCGCCGGGCGCCACCGGGTCGTGTCTGATGTGACATAATGCTGCCGAGCCGCCCATCCTCTGACCAGCCGTGCCGAGCTTCCTGCAGACGCCACAAAAAAACAAAAACAAAAACAAAACAGTGTCAACGACAAGCAGCTGTTTTCCTCTTTAATGAGGAGTCTGTTGAGGTGAGCATTTACCGCTGCATGGTGAGGAAAGTATTGGTCATGTAGTCTTCCTGCCTCGGCCCTCGGTGCAGCTCCTCGGCCAAAACATCTCCCATAGTGCACTGCAGAAGGTAAGGCACCTCGACGTTCTTGTCTCCGTCAAAGACGCCATACAGAGCTTCTCGCATCCCGCAGAAGGTGTCCTGGGCCAGAGCGGCCACACACAGTCTGAGGATGACAACGGCTCATCAACAGGGATAACACCCAGGAAACACTTCTAATTCTAGACATTCTAAACAAACACGTGTCAAATAGAACCAGTAATTAAAGACCGACTTGTTTTTGACTCCGGAAGCCTCTGTAAAGCCGTGGCTCCACACCGCAGGGACGCCGTGGCTTTCGTTCGCGGCAGAAGCAGATGGAGACGGATCCACCCGGAAACAGCGGATGTTGCTGCAAGAAGGAGAAAAAAAATTTTAAAGACAGTTCTGTGTCTTAAGGTTTCTGCTGAAGATTTTATGTCCATACTTGAGGAGTTCCAGGCTCTTGTGGTCGAGGTTGAGTCGAGGGTTTCCGGTGAGGTCGAGCTCCAGGAGTTTTGGGGGAAGAACCTCGGGCAGCGTAACCTCCGTCAGCTCGTTGCAGCTCAGATCGACGCACTGAGAACGGCACAGAGAGAGCTCAACATGACCATGCTTCTTCATACATTCTCCGATTTTAAATTCCTGCCCTTGTTTGGATGTTTAAGGACATGGACAACAGCCTAACTACAGCAGTCAGCTCCTTGATTTCACTCAAAAAGCATATCAAATATTTGAAAACAAAAACATTCAGTATTTAATGTTTCTGTAGATTTCATTGCTAAATGAAAGTTATCTTATGGATATAAAAATTAAAATTTTCAGCATTTTTGAAGCACTTTGGATCGATGCCGGGATTCCTCTGACGAACCTTAATTTCGGGCAGCTGGAGCACCTCTGGGAAGGTGTTGATGGAGTTGGAGTGGGCGGACAGCGTGTGCAGCCGTCGGCAGCTGAGGATGGTGGTGGGCACGGCTCTCAGTCGGTTGCCGCTCAGGTCCAGCTCCTCCAGCAGCTCCAGCCGAGCCAATTTACTGCAGAAGGAGGAGAAAATACAGAAACTCAAGCTCAAAGACTAACCTGCATGATGACTGACCTGATGAAACTCTAAATGAATAATTTGATATATTCACAGAGATATTTATTGCGTTGTACCTGGCAGTAAAGGTTTGCAGCTGGTTGTAAGCGAGGTGCAACACCCTGAGGCGACCGTGTCCCGTCAGCAGAGGGATGCATTTGTCTGTCAGGCCGTTATTGGTCACATACAGCTCCTCCAGGCTGCTGCAGGAATCATCCGACAAGCTGGCTGGTGGCAGATCCTCCAGCTTATTGGCTGATGCATTTAGGTAGCGCAAGCTGGGATGAAATCCGGAACACAGAGAAAGTACTACACTGTAAAAATTGA